AAAAAAAAAAAAAAAAAAAAGAAACACAGCCAAGCCCAATACCACCCCACCCAGTTCCCAAAAGCCAAAAGACTCACGAACAAACCAAGGCAGACAGAGATTCAATGACGGAGAGGATAAAACAAGTAGGCGAGAGGAAGATAACTAGGTGGAGAGTATAGGTAGGCGTCGAATACTTTGTATATCAATTCGTTTTCTGGTTCCTTCGAGCAGGTGAAGATGTGAGAAAGAGAGAGAGAGAGAGGGCTCACTCAACTCGCGGCACGGTTGCCCGCTGTTGAGCTACTAGGTACCTATAACTACTTACCTGCGAGCATGCGTTCCTTGGTCCAGCGGCCAGCCCCCCAAAGGTGCGGTGTAGTCTTTCCCATCATGATTTATTTATTTCCTTCATTCATCCCGAGTCCCTTCATTGCTCTCGCCTCCAAACTACAAGTGCCCAAGGAATAAGGAAGAAGGAAGAGAAAAGCACAATTAAGAAACGCACGGGAGGAATCAAGAAGCCCCGCCCATCCAAGTCCAACTTCCGGTTGATGAGCCCTATTTTTGTGCCAAGTCCGTACATATAAGCGAGCCTTTTTGTTTACGCCCCTCCAGCCATTTCCCCAACATATCCCCAAATCACACCTTGAGTCAAAAGCATTCAAGATTCCCCAACACTCATCCATCCGAACAAGACCACCGACGCAGCTACCCACACCGCCGTAATCACGGCCGCCCCAGCTTTGTCCTGCTCGCTAGGTGGCAGAAGCATCCTCAGATCCGTGACACTGCGGGCGCCCGCATCCGGATTTCCCACACTCGTGCCACCAGTATTATTGGTCAGAGGTGGGGGAACTTCTTGCAGAGGAAGAATGTTGACAAAGAGGGCGGACATGGCAGCCATTTGCTGACCTACGCCTACGGTCCCGTCGTAGACGCCACTGGACCACGAGAGTCCGCAGGTTCGGCCGGTGGCGCCGCCAGTGCATTGTGCTGCAGCTGCTTGGGCGGACTTTCTGAGCTGTATGGGTGTCAATCAGGCATTCGTTCGAGAGAGCAGAGTTGCATATGTTCAGGTCGGGATTGCTAGGGGGGATCAGGCAGAAATCAAAGATGCGGAAATACCTTGGGCATGATGCGATCCCGAGTGAACGGAGCAACCATCGATGTAGCAGCCAGCCAGCGCATGACGTAAGACTTGAAACTAAACATGTCAATCGAGCATGTCAATTTCGGCTCACAGGCTACCTCATAGGCGATATCGTTTGGGAAGAATGTGTTGAAGGTGCTGTTGAGGAGAAGGTTGACTCGATCTTCCCAGATGGACGATCCGTTTGTCTATATTCTATCAGTAAGATTGATGCAAGATCCATCGCTCCAAACAGCACGAAGGCTCAGGGATAGAGGACACAGGATAGCACGAAAGGAGGGGACTCACATAGTTATACATATTCGCTGCCCCGAGCAACCAAATAGCAATGTTGTACGAGAACTGCACACGGTTGATATCAGTGCAATTGTGCCCAATGTGACCGCCGTCAAAGACGTTGTAGTCCTTGTCGATGAAGCCTACGCTGGTGATCCAATCCCAAGTCTGGACCGCATGGTCGTAGTAGGTGCTGTTGTCCGTGTATCGAGCAAGTCTGGCAGCAATGTTGAAGAAGCAGCCGTTGGCAATGGAGTTCTTATAGTCATATCCAATCAGGTACGGGAAGACTTGCCACCTCAACCTATTCCCCAAGTCAGCACTAGATATAGCTCCTCGAGCAAGATTAAGAAGACTCACCCTCCCCCACATTCCCCATCCGTGCGTCTGGACTGGGAATTGAACACGGCCTGAGCCAATGCGAGCCACCCGGGCGAACCGCTCGGCGGATTCGTGAAGTTCGTCTCCGCCGCGCTCATGGCAGTGAGGCCCCAGAAGCCCTGGTCATCGTTACCCATGCTCTGACTCCAGTTGCGCGGCATCAAGTCGAGGTTCTCGCCGACCTGAGCTTGGATGCCAGTCGAGACAACGTCGTTGTAGGATTCGTCGCCGGTGTAATGCCAATAATCGATCATGGCCCCCCACATTGCGCCTGATTCCCACCAGTAGTCTGTTGGAGGAGGTCAGCAATGTCCTGAATTCCTCTGAAGAAGGGAGAAGGAGGATATCACATACATCCATCCGGCGGATTCGGCGGTGGCCCAGGAAGAACCCCAATGATGCCACCACTCTGATTGCCTTTGTAGAAGCTCATCATATCATAAGCCAGCGTGGCAGCGCCATCCTTGATCGACTCTGCAACACGATAGTCAGCTCTGCTCAACGCTCTTCTCTGCCCAAAAGTTCCTCGTCCTCCTTTGGCCCCAATTGCGATAGCCTCGCTCCAAGACTCGATCCGGGGAAATACGCACGGGTAGAGCTCAGATCAACCTCAATCCCTTGCACTACACCTGCGCACCCTATCATCCCCCATAGAGTCAACGCGGTCATGGCGGCGCCAGAAACGAGGGTAGGCAACGACATTTTCTTGCCGTCTTCCTTTTCTCTTCTTCTTCTTCTCCTCTCTTCTTTTCTCCCTTTCACACACACACGCTCTCTCTCTCTCTCTCTCTTCTTTTTCTCCAAGCCCCTCAGATGGATCAAAGCCACCCAATCCAACCCAGCCCAATATGCCACCAGAAAAGAAAAAATCTCCTTCCAGTCTCCGGTCCTACTTCTCACTCGCAGCTTGAATCGAAGAAATTCGACGCACAGGATTACGCGTGCGTTCGTTCGTGTAGAAGGTATGCAACTTTCGTTGGAGCGCCTGGCTCGATCGTCAGTAACGACAGGAATTCGTCGGCACGGACGAGTCGAGATTAGGGATCGGTGGTCGAGGGAAAGGTGAATAGTTCAGCTGTCGATGTTGCTGCTGTTGTTGTTGTTGTTGTTGTTCCTGTCGTCGTCGTTGAAATAATTCCAAAGGTGCAAGACAGATAAGGCACACGGAGGGAGGAAGGGTGATTTGATTTGGTTGGATCTGGTTTGGTTCACTAGGTACGAAGGGTCTCTTCGTGTCTTGGCTGGGCAAGTCAAGCTCACACACACACACCCACCCACCCCTATAGCCCAATCAAGCTCGAAAGACTGATTGATGATGGTAAATGTACGCAATACTAGCTGCATTCCCGCTTCACTTTACTTCACTTATCTACTTATGCCAATCGTCAAAGATTTATTACGCTTTCAATTCTTCCATAGACCCTAGCATGCACGTTCGTACGTAGCGGCCAGGCTTAAAGTACCTAGGTAGGCTCGCTGCTGGGTCAAGGAATCCAATCCCTTCGCTGGATAATTTCGACTCAAATCAGATCGTCATATCGACTTTCATCAAGTGCTGATGGAATAAACATTTTCTTCCCCTCTTTCTCCCCGGTCGTCTGTTTACCTTATGTTTGCGAGATCGTGACGGTCGATAAAAATGCTTGTTAAGTTGTTGCAAAGCTTGATTAACCAGGCACAGGCACAGGCACAGGCACGGGAGATCCGGGGAAGTGGAAAGAAAAAGCTTGGTCTGCTCTGCAACGCAACTTCGCATGGACCTTGAACCTTGGGATCTTGGACCTTAATGGGAGCCCCGAGCGGATTTGGCCATGCACTTTACGGTACTTGGATCGTCACTACGGTCGAAGGCTGCCTGGTGCATCCGCTCATTACGGATAGGGCTTACCGGTACATCTATCTGTGCTGCGAAACTTGACAGCGGCTTGGGAGAGGGCGAGATGGCGCTTTGACATCAAGATCGGGATCCAGCTTGAACCTGGTTGGGATCAACGGCTACTGCTTACCCAAACCCCTCGTCTTCTTTTCACCTCTGCGGACCTTGCGTAGTTGAAGAGAATAATTACTTTTGTCTACTTATGTACACCAGTGACCATGGATGGTCCCATCCGATCGATGCCTAGTTCCTGGCAGGTCTAATAGTACAAGTGAGCCACCCGGCCACGTGATGCTCCCCCACCATGCAACCATTTCCCATGCACCCTACGAGTGATAACAACAAGTATGGAAATTACAAAGCCGCAATAGCCACGATCAAAGCACCCATGACACCCATCATAGGGCCAGAAAGAGAAGGAGCTGCGTTTCCACTGACGATGAGTGGGCCAGTAGACGTAGGGCTTCCAGCTTCGGGTCCAGCAGGTTTGGCCGTGGTCGAAAGAGTGACATTGCCGTTTCCTGAGCCTGAGCCTGAGCCTGAGCCTGAGCCTGAGCCGGAGCCGGAGCCGGAGCCGGAGCCTCCGGCACTACCGGTGCCGGCTGGAGACGATCCAGTGCCGGTAGCAGAGGCAGATCCCGCTGATCCATCAACGGCTGGCTTGGACGGAGAAAGACCGCCTCCAGTAGCAACGATACCACCTCCAGTCAAAGCATTCGAGGCGGACAATAGCGCACTGGAAGCAGCGCTGCCAGTTGGGGAAGTGGATGTAGGCTTGGCACTGCCAGAAGTTGACGAAGAGACGTTGGAGCACGAGAGGTCGAAGAGAGGAGTGGTGCTTAGAGGATTGCCAGAAGTGATACCGAAAGATGGGTTGGGGGAAGCATTGTTGTCGGTGTCCTCGAGAGTGTACCACCAAGTATTGACGACACCAAATCGTGGGCATCCAACCTCGTCCCAGAAGGTCTTTGCATTCTCGACGCTAGGAACAGCGAGGTTCTCAGTCTTGCCAGTCACGGGCCATCCGGCCTCGGTGATCCAAACAGGCTTGCTTCCAACGGCAGCGACGGTGTTGGCTACAGCCTCGTTGAAGAGGGAGGCGCCATTGGCAATACCGTTGGATTGGGTGTTTTGGAAGTATGGGTAGGCATCAACACCAATCCAGTCGCAGTTGTCAATGACAGCTTGGTTCGAACCGTTGACCCAGGCAGTCCATGTATCAACGTGTCCGACAGGAGCGTTGGCCAAAGGTCCACCAGCGATGGCTGCGCGAACTGCCTTGATGTTGTTAACGATGGTGGCGGGATCAGCACCAACATACGAGCCAGCTGCGATTCCAGTAGGGGAGTTTCTGTAGAGATCCTCGGATCCGATGGAGATACCTACGACCCTGCTGGTGAACGCGCCTTCGTATTGGGCGATGGCAGCCTTCAGGGCGAGCAATTCTTGGGGGAAAGCGGTGCCAGAGGACCAGAGGGTGAGGAGGATGGAGACATCTTGAGCAATGGCGGCTGGGATGGCGGAGGTGGGATCGCTGGTAGTACCGGCTTGCTGTGGAGGGTGTTAGCAGGGTATATTGGCACGGAGCTAGGAAGAGGAAGAAGTGCAAGGAGTCAATGACGGGATGGGATGGGGAGAGAATGGAATGCTGTGTCAACCGTGGATCGAGATGGGGGGGGTTTATATAGACAGATGAGGATGGTCGAATGGGGGTTGTAGGCGAAGGCAGCGATCAAAACAAGCGAATACTCACGATGGTGGTGTACAGACGAGCACTAGTGAATCCCGAGGTGCCCACCAAGTTCTTCGCGGTGGAAAAGAGGCTCTCGAAGTCGCTCTGGATTCTGGGGGCGTAACCGTCGGACTTGGTGGCACCGTAGTTGAAGCCCTTGTAGACGACGGCGGAGACCTCGACTAGAGAGGCGGCCAGGGCGAGAAGAGTAGCAGAAGAACGCATTTTGAGGGGAGAAGTTGGACTGGTGTAGGGGCAGACTGGCAGATTAGATTGGCAGACTGCAGCGGTGATGCAGGAGTTTGTTCGTTAAAAGAATCTAGAGAAGAGCAAAGTCGGATGTCGTGTTGACTGCAAAATGGAGGTGGAGGTGGAGGTGGAAGAAGAAGAGATGGAGACGGAGAAGAGGATGGGCTAGAAGAGAGAGGGAGCTATGGAAGGGAAGATCACGACCCTTTTAAAGGAAATGCACTTGAGCCGGGGAGGATGGCCAGGGCCCACCTTCCCCTGCTCTTCCCCCAATCAGATCCGGGGCGGGAGATGGGATGACGATCGTCCGTCGTTCCTGCAGACTGCAGACTGCAGACTGCAGCTGTCAGTTGGCCCGTTAGTCAGACGAAGATGAATAGATGATTAGATGATTAAGTAAATCAACAAAAGGGACCTGGTTACCTACGTACCTGCCTAGCTAGATACTGCACCCAATCAATCCATCAATTCCCTCCTGAGTCAATCGATTGTGGATCATGATCACCTCATCATATCTTGAATCTTGATATACCGGTATCTACGAATATGGTGATGTACCGGTACCGGTATGTCCTGGCTAAGCATTCCTGGATTCCTTCCCCTGGTGGCGTGGCAAAAGCTTGAGCCGAGTTGAGTTCAAAAAGGTGCCGGTAAGCACGGGCACGGGCACGGGCACGGGCACGAGCACGAGCACGAGCATGGGGGGAGGGAATTGGATACGAGAGATGGTCCGAGTACGAGGACAGGCAGGGTTCAGAGATCACCATCACGGACGGAACTTTCACTTTTCTTGATTGTCGAATGTAAACAAGAACAGTCAAGAATGACAAATGCAACCAGAACAACCAGAACATCAACATGCTCCCGGGAGTGGACGCCGAGATCCGGTTCTGGCGCATCTTTGCAGCCGCCTGCTTCTTCCACCGCCGGGACTTGCTTCTCAGAGTCAGAGTCCTGGGCCTTTCTGTATCTGGTTTGGTCTGGCTGCGCTGCGACGGCTCGAAATACGAAATATATGACGCTTCAAACTTGAGGCTCTTCGATGCCACAGGGTAGCTTGCGATTGCCTCATCTGAAATAGGAGTTACGAGTGAGTAGCTGAGGTGAAGAGCGAAGGCGTGGCGAGAAGACTTGCGCGGAACTTGGAGTTGAGATACAAGTTCGAGCTCCCAAGTCTTTCTCAAGAGAGTGATGTTGTAAGCAGGCGGGCAACAATAACAATTAGCCAATGAAAAATGTCGACGACCTCACTTGCAGGTCGTTACGAAGAATCGACAACCAAGAAGACGAAAGTGAAAGAGAGATCCATTACCGACGCCATTCGAGTATTCGATCAAATATTGCTCCGAGTATTGCTTTCCGTGAAAATTTACAGCTCGGCGGTACCTGATCCATGCCCAAACGCCACCCACTCCGGGCCACCCGCTATGAATGCAAGTACTCCCAAGCAATAATCAAGCAGCTCGTCGAGCGGTCGTACTCATAAGTGTGATCTTCTTCGCCTTCTTCTTCTTCCCGGGCGTGCCCTGTTTCGCACTATCCCCCGCACTGTTCAGTGATGCGGCCTGCACTTGGGCGATCAGCTCGTTCTGAGCATTTTCAGCATGAAGTTCCTGCTCCCAAGATTGTAGCCATCCATCGTCACCATCATGATCGACATGCTGGGCATGAGTCTCAGGCGAAGCTGCGCTTACCTGAGGGCATTAAATTAGTGAAACTCCTGTGAAATTCGGGGGGGGGGGGGAAACAAATGTCTCCAGGCCTGTCGGAGCCATCAAAAATAGGAAATGTAAAAATGGCATGCTTTTCGTTACTTACGATGGCAGTACCCCACACAGTACGTGGGGCTGATGGACTCGTAGATGGTGAAGCTAGAGGGCCGAAAGAAGATCCCTGGCGTGTGGGCCAAGGTGGTGACGCTAGAAGGACACGACACAGCAAGTCAGCAATCGGCTAGTCGGAAAAAGGTCACGTTTCCAGGGGTTTGGGGATAATGAGATGTAATGAAACGTACCATTGCTGGCATCGAGCGAAGAAGGCGCAAAATCCTCTGCGGAGAAAGCGGAGAAGGAGTTAGCCGGAACGGTATCGGTGGTAGTGCTTGGTCGCTTCCTCCGCGCATTCGCCCAGCGAGCATCGTCCTCCATCTTTTCTGCACGAACTCTATCCCTCTCCTCTTTGTTCTCCTTCTCTCGGTTCCGCTGTCTCCTCCTCTCAATTTCTACCTTGAACTGGTTCAGAATCTCAGGGCTCACGACATCAGTCCAGTTGCACTCCAGGAAACCAACTTCGCAACCATCGGGAAGATGTGACAGGTATTTTGTTTTCTTGCGCAGGTCATGATCCATGATATGACCAGTCGAAACGCGTTCTACTCGAGGCAGAAGGGTAGAGGGAAACGAGGCAAAGTTGCCGAAAGCAGATTTGAGAATTCGGATGTCCAGGGGTGCGAGGTAATAATGTAGAAGGGCTTGGTAGAAATAGTATGGAGCATCTGGATGATGGGATTCGTTCTGTCCCATCCTCTTCAATTCTAAATGAGATGGCTTGGCGTGAGGTTCAAAAGGTCCTGTCGGTGGCTCGGCGCTATGTTGCGTTGGTCCGAGGACCATGCTCGGGCCTAATTGAGAGGCGTTCTGCACGAAGTACATCTCAGGAGCCTCCTCCTTCATTTCAGTGAAATGAATTGGTGGCAGCTTCTTCGGCTTCTTTTCGGATGGTTGCTTCACAATCGCTGGTGGGTGGCCAATACCATCAACGAGCTTCTGTGAAAAGTCAGCACTTGTTACAATGTGAGCTATCTCAGGGAGCACAAATGTCACCAGAAGATCCGAGACAATCAAAAATGCTTAAATACCTTCGCTTCTCGGACGGCATTGACAGCCTTTCTTGTCCATTCGGGCTCTTCGCCAAACATCAACTCATCCTCGTTTTCTTGGCGTTGCAGGTCTTCAATTTCTGCATCGTATTGCTCCTGCATATAGTCTTCACTGCCCTTCATTATCCGGGCGTAATCTGTGACTTCCGCCGCAAAATACCATGGGATGTCCTCGGTTTTTGGAAGAGACTCGGCTCCATCTCGTGGTAGTGCCAGGGTACTGTAGGTTTTAGCAAGTAATTATCTAGGGAAGGCTGCAGAATAGAGGAAGGCATGTTCTCGGATTTCTGGGACATCAAGTAGAAATCTGAGCTTCCATATAACATACCTTCCTGGTTGCCGCATGACTAACCGAAGTACAACATCATCTCCTTCCCGCGGTTGTGGGCTCTCTTGTCCAGTATACCACCTCACTGGTCTGGTTTCCGAAATGAATACCAGATCCCAGCAGATCGGGCACTTCTTACAGCGAGCTTTCTTTTCCGGCAGCGGATTCGTGTCGTCTGTGGAGTGCATATATCGGATTAAGCATGGCAGACAGAAAATATGCCCACACTGAGAACGACGAGTTAGCAATTGCATTTTCAAAACACCGTCGAGATTGCCAGTTGCCTTGGGAAAATCGAGAGTGAGACAGAATGGGCTCCGACGCCACACGTACCTTAGCCATCCGAGGAGCCACAGGGTGTGAGAGGCAGATGGGGCATGATGCTTCTTGTGATACCGAAGATGCAAGGATTTGTAACACATCGTTCCAATCCAAATGCTGGTCAGCGTTCGCTGCCTGTCGTTTGTAGTCACCATTGGGCTTGACAATGAATCTGTAGTTGGCATGGATGTATCTAGCCTTGTCGCTCGAGTGATGGCCCGATCCAATCCCGTAAGTATTGGCCCTGCCGGTACCACGTATGAATGTGTTTCGATGATCTTGAGGGCGAGGAGGTAGGGCGAAGCTCATCAGGTGAGTGATCGAGGTTTGGCCCCGACGGCTGTTAACATTTCTCATGACTCCCTTGGTTCTCGTCAGTCTTGTTCGCCCCAGGGGAAGTTTGGGCATGGGGCAGGAGCACTGAGGGTACACACGGATTCCGCCATTACATCCTCATCCGCAAGCCGTGGCTTCCTCGAGTTCTTGTGCTGCTTCCTGTTGCTCTGATTGTTCCGGGCCGACGCGTTGATGGGGGCAGAATAGCTGGAAGCACGTCGCGAGCCAGAGTCAAAGCCTGGAGAGGCAATCTGATTGTTTTGCGGCTGGGTGGGCGAATGTGAAGAAGATATATTAAGGGATTTGCCGCCGGAGGAAGACACGTTTGGCGGTGCAGGATTCATCATTGGTGTCCAGAGCGTAGGTATGAACGACGGTGCGAACTTCAATATACAGGCAAAAAAGCCGTAGGGACGGCAGAAGGATAAGAAGGTATGGATGATCCAACGTCACCAAGTCGTCAAATAAATCGTCAATTCGTCAATTCGTCAAGGCTCCGGGGGGCTTCTCTCTGGTGACGCCTGGACCTCTAATCAACAGAAAGGAAAGGAACGGGGGAAGAGAAAGCTTGTGTAATAAGGATTCCAGAGTTGCGAATGGTGATAGATTTTCAGACGCCCGAGGCGCTGGAGTTGTCGGGATGATGGTGGGGGGGGAAGGTTGCGGCGAGAGGAGGGGAGCAGTGGTAAGTAGTCCAGTCCGGCGCTAGGCGGGTCGGCTGTCAGAGAAGGACTCGGGATTTTTACCGTGTTTTGGTTAGGTACTGTGATAACTAAGGGGGTAGCTCTCTTCTATCAACAAAGAGAGGTGAGATGATATTTTTGATGCTGATAATGGTAATAGGAATGGTATTTCTGATATTCAACAATCGACAATTTATTTATTTATGTGATTGTATAGGAAAGGCTAGACTGCTCACTTTATACCTATCTATGCCCGTTTTGCTATGTCAGCAGCACGTCATTTGCTCAAAGTAATACAATAAATACACTCTCACAGAGCACTGACTGTTAAATCGTGATGTAAACACCGACCTACCTCTGTGATAAATATATGCACAATTCGATTCCATCGGTAAGCTGGGTATTACAGCCCTGTGACTCGTAGCCTGGTCTGTAGTTGTTTGTAGCTATTTGCATCGCATCCTCTGCACCTGCTAGCTTGGCACTCGGACCAGCCTCTAGTCACTCGATCCACATACTTACTGATGACTATAATAATAATTTTGGGCCGCCCGAACCTTAATTCCACAACCTCCTCAGCTCCTCAGCCCAGTCCAAAGGATAGGTAGGATACGACTCTATACGATACGATACAGCACAACACAAGACAACACAAAGACAACACGATACACTACTCCTTCTCACAGCTCGCTCTATATCTGCGCCGGATCTATCAAAACAATCAATCCTGATTCTCGATCAGTGCGCTCGCTGTCGCTCTGTCTCTAAACACATCTAGCTCTTCATCACGCTGCCATCGACGCGCATCTTCAATTCGACCTCAACGCGGTCGAGTTGGGAGAAGCATCTCCCTCCCAAGCCGGCATGATGAATAGCCGTCATCTGCCGGCAGGGCAAGGCATGCCGCCGGACGTGGGCAGACGAAGGCCTCACAATCAATACCAGCATCATCAGCCGCACCCGCATCCACCACATCCGCAGCAATACCCTCCTCCGCCTATGTACAGCAACAATTACATGCAAGCGTATGGAAATGCTGCCTACTACCCGCAGCCTATGCCCCCTCAATACCACAATGCGCCCATGCCTCACCAATACGCTCCTTACCCCCAACCTCCATTCGTGCGCTCGCCGCCCCCGATGCAGCACTTCGTTCCCGCGCCGCTCCCTCAACCGCAGCAGCAGCCGCCATATCCCAGACCGCAGCAATCTCCTGCCGTTGTTCCTACACATCAAGCTCCTCCCCCACAAGCGCCATCTTCGACGACATCTTCGCACACAGTTCCTGCTCCTATGACACCACCGACACCGCAGACGGCCTTGAGCGTGGCGCCGTCATCACCAGAGCAAGAGTTTTCCTCCAAAACATCTTTCAGAGCTCCTGTAAGTTCCTATGCCCCGCTGCGACGTTAGAAAGGCCCCTTGCTAACCTGAGTAGTTGCCTTGGTTGTCGAGACCTGATCTATCTTGGCCCGCGAGAAAGGCGCGAAAGAAGAGGAAGGCTGTGCCGAGGACTGCTGGCTCGAATACGCCCACCGCTGCTCCAGAGGGAGCCAGAGCCGAGGCGGGAGACGTACCGGATGAGTTTCAAGAGGGTAACCTACAAGACGAGCCAGTTGCAGATTTGCCCGCCGAAACAGAGCCCACTGAGGAGACACATGTTCGGTCGCAAACCCCTTCCACTGGTCATCCCGAGGAAGAGCTCTCTACGAACCCGACAACACCATCTTCACAACAGCTCGGAGAAATCACGCCGGCTCCTTCAAAGCCTGCTCAAAAGTCGGGCGGGCTCGTCATACCCGCGCTGCCAAAGATCGTCAAGACCACGCCAGAGAAGAAGCCGGATGTCCAGGATGAGCAGAGCCCTGTAGTTGATTCAGCTCTTGAGGTCAAGACACCAGTGGTTGTTGGAACAGACACGCAGGAGGTTAAGGAGGCTTCTCGAGCACCGGCTCCAAAGGCATGGGCAACCCCAAAATCATGGACCGGTCTTTTCAATCCAGCTGCTGCATCTTCCCAGCCCATAAGCGAGTCCGGACTGGCTACCACAGCCCCAGGCGTTGTAAGGACAAATGCCGAGTCCCTCGCTGAAGCTTTGAGGTCCTTCAATGCTGTCACCAACAATTCCAAGGTGACATTCTTGAAGCCTCGTGGCTTGGTAAACACTGGTAATATGTGCTACATGAATTCCGTAAGTTCCTTCGATCCATGAACCCGGTAGCCGCTAATTGATGAACAGGTTTTGCAAGTTCTTATTTTCTGTACTCCTTTCTTCAGCTTCTTGGACCAGGTCAGCAAGCGAGCTGCCCACAATTTCAAGAGTGAAACCCCTCTGATCGACGCTATGTAAGTTTCCCTATGTTTGTTACATCGTGATCCTGACGTGTGTAGGATTTTGTTCCTCCAGGAGTTCCCGGTTATCGATTCTGCCAAATCGGTCGAGCAGTTAAAAATGCGACTCAAAGAAGGCGATCTTGAGCAGTACGGCGACCCATTCACACCTGATTTCGTATACAACGTTATCAATCGTCTACCTCGTTTCTCTAGCATGAGAGTAAGTTTCATTCCCTTTATGTAAATCACATGAGTACATTGCTAACCAGAACAGCGCGGCCATCAACAAGACGCCGAAGAGTTCCTTGGATTCCTTCTTGAAGGTTTACATGACGAGTGCGTGCTCGCGATGCGTAATGGTTCTTCGAACACCAATTCAGCAATCGCAACGCCGAACGGTCCCTCGTCACCTGTCAGTGAGACTGGCAGCACGCAAGGCTCTGTTTCTGCCAAGGAAAATGGCTGGTTGGAGGTTGGACCAAAGCAAAAAGCTGCTGTTACACGATCATCAGGGACTATTTCTACTGGCTCCCCAGTCACTAAGATCTTTGGTGGAAATTTGAGATCTGAATTGAGGGTACCAGGTCTCAAAGACTCGGTCACTCTCGAGCCCTACCAACCACTGCAACTTGACATCGGTGCTCCAAACGTAAACAACATCGTCGATGCTCTGAAGGGCCTCACTCGCTCGGAGGTTCTTCACGGTGATTTCAAATCCCCTAAGGGTCCCAATGTCACAGCTACTAAGCAGGTTTTCATTGAGACCCTACCGCCAGTTCTCATCCTTCACTTGAAGCGATTCCAGTATGACAATGCAGGAGGAACTCAAAAGATATGGAAGAAGGTTGGGTACCCGTTGGAGTTGGAAATTCCCAAGGAGGTGTTCTCCCGTCAGAAACGTGCAGCGTACGCTCACAGCGGTCTCCCCAAGTACCGCTTGATCGCTGCGGTCTACCATCACGGTAAGAACGCTACTGGTGGTCACTACACCGTAGATGTGAGGAGACAGGATGGTCGTGAGTGGGTTAGACTCGACGATACAGTCATCCGACGAGTGAGAAGCGAGGAGGTTGCGGCGGGTGGCAGTGAGGAGGATCCCAAGGTTCTTGCAGCTGCCTTGGATGGGCACAAGAAAGACGGCAACGGGTTCGCTGCGATAGATGGCGCAGAGGACGAGGCCAACCAGGATGGGTGGAAGCAGGCTAGCGGTACCGGAAAGAAGTGGTCAGCGGTGGCGAACGGTGCTTCTGCTCCCAAGGCCAAGAGCGAGAAGTTTTCTGTGAAGGACAATAAGGTTGCGTACCTGCTCTTCTATCAGAAGATCTGAGGGGACGAAGGATAGGCGGAAGAATGAAAGATTAGCGACGAGGAATGAAAGCTATGGGGCCCTTGCGACTCTGGGCACGAACAGCAGGTGGATGCCTGGGTCCATCCTGGGTTCATCCTGTACATACAACACATGGCTCGCCGGGTCTGCTGGGATATCTTTCACGGATGGGAAACGAGCGTGTGTATCGGCGCAAGCGGGGAGGCGATGGAGGGTGTCGAAAAGCGGGCCTCTAGGCGGTGGGTGGAGCTTCCCATGTACTATAGGTATTTGCTTTGCTTTTTGCTCTAGCAGCGCCCCGAAGGTTTCAATAAAAGTGATTGATACGCATGGCGGTGGGGTGATATCTAGACGTGTCTCTTTGAGATTTGATCATTTTCGACAGGCAAGGAGGAATGTGGGAGTGGAATGGAACAGAACTCTGAACGGGTGCTTGTCGGTGTTGGACGATGGGCACTTTTGAACTCCAGACCGCATACTGTTGCCGACGTCAACTTATACTGAACTGATTTTTAGTATGTATCTTGGAGGAGAAGAGCTTTTGCCTGACTGAGACCAGTTTGACCTCACGATCTCGCTTTCTCACTACCCGCGGACTCCGCGCGCCGAGCTCCTGAGTCGGGATAAGCTACTCCCGAGCCCTTACCTGTCATGCATCGGCAAAATAGCGGCCCGACAATATGATCCAGGGTTAGGTGATGATGGATGATGTAATGAGTGCAGCTGAAGCTGAAGCTCCTCTACCGTACTTACTAGTACTTACTAGTACTTACTAGGTACCGCTACCGCTACCGCTACCGGTATCTACGGCACAATGCTATCTCTCCTATACCCTCATACCCTCATACCCTCATACTGACTGTACTTTTTCCAAGTCCTTACCGACTCTCCCGAGCTTCCGATCCCTGCGTCTTGTGCTCCATCGTTCTTTTGTTCTTTTCTCCCCTTGAACTAATTAACTAATAGCTAGGTCGCCACCTCAAGATATATATATAAATGTAAACCCACAGAGACAGACATGTCGGCTCGATATTCCTTGCGACAGACTCCCAAGTATGCAACCTCTTCCTCTTCCGTTATCCACACCCGCACGGTTCTATGCTGATTTGGCGACAGGAAGACGGTGCATCTTGGCTTTGTAGAGACTCCTCGCGTGCGCAGACCTAATAAGCGAAAGCTCCAATTCCCCGAAGACGTGGGCGACGGCGACGGCGACGACTCGTCTTCCGCGACTGACCTCTCCTCCACCCTTAAAGTCGCGTCCACCCTCAGAGTCGCGTCAAATTCTACCTCAACGCCAACGTCAACACGATCGAGAACGCCCAGTCGCAAAGTCAGCATGGCAAAGGACGCAACGACCAATGGCTACGCTGCTAATGGCGCGACGGCGATTCATCCGAATGGAGGCACAAGCAGCAGCGCCATCAACAGGGCGGCGAAGGAGACTGACATGGATACAGAAACAGACTTGGGCACCCTTGAGGGGAAGGTTGTAGATAGCTGGAAGGTCGGCAGCGATCCCAAGATCGATTCGACGGGCCACTTCGACTTTGGCGGCTCGTTCGGTGTCACGGCCATGATGATCGGATTCCCGCTGCTCATGTACTACATGTGGATTGGCGCTACCTTTTACAATGGCCAATTTCCAAGGCGCGCCGCTGGCCAGTCCATGGGCGAATTCCTCCAGCAGATGGGCCGTCTGGCCTACACGCATGCCTTCCCTCACGCCTACGCCTGGACCATCTACTGGGTGTTCTTGGTTGTCCAGGCTGCCTTCTATTGTCTCCTGCCCGGCGTCTGGACCTACGGCAAGCCGATTGCTCACGAGGGTGGTAAGCAGCTACGCTATTACTGCTCCGGCATGTGGTCGTTCTACACGACGATTGTCATCGGGGCGACGATGCACTACACCGGCCTGTTCAAGCTCTACACTATCATCGACGAATTTGGACCCATCATGTCTGTGGCCATCTGTTCCGGCTTCTTGGTTTCAATCGTCGCATATTTCTCTGCCATTGCGCGTGGAGCCCAACACCGCATGACCGGGTACCCTCTCTACGATTTCTTCATGGGCGCCGAGTTGAACCCCCGCCTCTTCGGCATTCTGGACTTCAAGATGTTCTTCGAGGTTCGTCTTCCCTGGTACATCCTCTTTGCTATCTCCTGCGCTACCGCTGCTCGCCAATACGAGAATTTTGGATACGTCTCTGCCGAGGTCTGGTTCTTGGTCTTGGCTCACTTTCTGTACGCGAACGCGTGCTCCAAGGGCGAGGAGTGCATCACTACAACATGGTTTGTTCCCCTCCTACGCTGGTCTGGTCGGAACGCAGCTAACGTGAGCAGGGACATGTACTATGAGAAATGGGGCTTCATGTTGATTTTCTGGAACTTGGCCGGTGTACCTCTCAGCTACTGCCACTGCACTATCTATGTCGCCAACCACCTGGACACAATCACCGACTACCCCTACAGAACCCCCTTCCTCGTCGTTCTCTTCACATCCTACCTCTTCATATACTGGATCTGGGATACGACCAACTCGCAAAAGAACCGCTTCCGTTCCCAAGAACGCGGTACTTTCACTGACCGCAGGACCTTCCCGCAACTCCCATGGCAAACCGTCAAGAACCCCCGCACCATCGAGACGGAGTCCGGAGATTCCATCTTGGTCGATGGATGGTATGGATATGCGCGCAAGCCTCACTATACGTGTGATGCTTACTTTGCTATCACGTGGGGCTTGATTACGGGATTCAGCAGTCCGTTCCCATGGTTCTACCCTGTGTTCTTCTGCCTGATGATCGTGCACCGTGCGTACAGAGATATTCAGCGCTGTAAGGTGAAGTATGGGGAGAGCTGGACCGAGTACGAGAAACTGGTGCCGTACCTGTTTATTCCTGTAGGCATACCCTCCCAGTTTCACGTCCCATCCAAATGCTAATTATGGAGCAGTACGTCATCTAAGACGGTACATAATCACTTCGATCCTCCAAGTCTCCTTTTAGGGATTGTGGTAGTGACTCGGCGTTTGGAGTCTGAATTTGGAATCTTCCATTCACAGGTGGATCTTCGCTAGACGGCTTTCCAGTGATGTTCAGGAGTTTATTGTATTGAATGGGAACTCGGGAGCTGATGATGGCTTTGGATCCGGCTTCTATGACCAGTGGGCACAGTGCTCAGGATGCATTCGATGGACGCTAAGGACCTCGTACATATTCGTAATACACCGCCATTTTCTTCGTACGTCGTTCGTTTGTTTGTTTTGGTCTCTGAGTAAGCGAGTGGGCGCCTTCAGAAGATCCGGTCTGGCTGTAAGTGCCGAGAGACCTTGATGCTACCGTACCTCGCACTGTTCCCCCTTGGCGTTCTATTGTTCTGCCACTCAACTGGGTCTTCGCTTTCATCAAGTCTCCCACTCACGCTCACTCACCCACTCACTCACCTACTCACATGGCAATAATGTCCAGCAACAACATCATTCCTGCGGTCCCGTTTACGGATCAATCCTTTCGGTATTTTGAATGTTCGTGTTTTCCATATGTACAGTTTTCTCCATCCCTCCTCGCTTCCTTCATTCCTTTCCACCCTAGACGACGGCGGTATTACTCTCACCCTCACAGGCTCACGAAAAAGAGACCTTGGCGCCCAACTCCCTCTCCTTCTCGCCCTTCTCCGCCATGTCGTCCAGCACCTTCTCGGCCGTCTTCATGGCATCGATGCCCGCCGGCACGCCGCAGTACGTGGTGCAGTGCAGGATGGCCTCCCTGATCTCCAGCTCGGTGAGGCCGTTGTTGCGCGCGCCGCGGATGTGCACGGCCAGCTCGGGCGCGCGGTTCAGGGCCATCAGCATGCCGATGTTGAGGAGGCTGCGCTGCTTCTTCTCCAGGCCCGGGCGCGTCCAGGCGTAACCCCAGCACCACTCCGTCACGAGCTTCTGGCCTTCCGCCGAGAACTCCGTCGCGCCGTTCGTGAGCGCGCGGTTGACGTACTCGTCTCCGACGACGCTGCGGCGCATCTGGAGGCCCTCGTCGAAGAGCTGCTTGTGGAGCGCGTCGAATTTGGGGTCGGTTGACATTTTTATATATATATATATATATATATATATATATGTATATATACGTAAATATATATATTGAAGGGGGTTGGAGCGTTTGTCGGAGAATGGTTGTTGGGGTGGCGAGAGAGATGAGCGGATTTCTTTCGAAAGTACCGGTTGTTTTCTTAGGAAGAGAAGGAGGTGGCTTTCTAGTTCTTGGGGAGATTGATAATGAAATTTGAACTGTTTATGTTATCAAAGAAGTATATCTCGAGTGTTTGTTTACATTGTAACACGTTGTAAGCAAGCTGGTGGGTGATGTCCGTACTTATTGTGTACCCCACCTGCGTTACCCCGCACTAGCTAGCTGCCGAAGAGCAAGTAGAGTAGATTCCTACTTTCTTAACTTTATTCTACCGATGATCGACATCGGCCCTGGTCACGTTCATTCAAGGTTACTTATGGTCGCGGGCAGGGGGAATGGTACAGTAAGGTTTTTAAGCGAGTCATTGTTGTGATTTCTATCCACTCCCTGACTCGGATCCACTCCATCCACCGTCCTATGGAAGTTGACCCAGAACCAGAACCAGAACCAGAAGCGCAAACCAGAAACCAAAGAAATGACAGCCCTGGGCTGCTCGAGTGAGTCCGAGTAGATACCGTAAATTCTGTAAATACCGTCAAGATCTAGAAGATATAGGGAGTTGCGGCTCTGGCTCTGTCTTCCGTTTCCATTACCCCACATGAACCTTCTTGACATCGACTCCTCGCTTGACGGAACGGCTATCATTCGTAGACGAAGATTCCATGTGGTTTGTTGACCCTCGATACCATTCTCGTTCCACTTCATAAATTGCGACTGACACAGTTCTATCCCGCGATCCATCGCATCGATTTGGGACCCCAACAAGATGACAGCGACTTCTAAAAAAACAGACGTTGACGCTTCCTCGTCTGCGGCCGGATCAGCAATGGTGACCGTGCACGCCCTCTCCGCAGGGCACTTCTCCCTTCCCGAGTATCAGTTTGTGCATCCCTGCGACGAGGGCGCCCGCAACACCGTTCCTTCGCTCGCGTTCCTCATCCAGCGTGAGGATTCGTTGACGGGACAGACAACTCGCATCGTGTTCGACTTGGGAGTGCGGCGAGATACCGAGCGATACTCGGAGCCGATCCGGAAACATATAGAGACGAGGCAGCCGATGAGCACGGATCCGGATGTCGTGAAGAGTCTGGCTGCGGGCGGTCTCACTCCGGATGACATTGACTACGTGATTCTCTCTCATGTAAGGCTCTTTCCCACACGGCCGGTCGACTGGACCGGGCTTTGCTTTGGCTGACTCGCGCTGTAGGTGCACTGGGATCACGTTGGAGAGCCCCGAGATTTCCCTACAAGCCAGTTCATCATCGGCTCGGGTGGGAAGGATCTGCTTCGGGGCAGTCCGTCTTCGCTCCGAGGGGGCCACTCCTTCTTCGAAGCCGATCTGCTGCCCGAGGGTCGAATGCACGAGCTTGCAGACCCTTCGCATGAGGACCACGGCACGCCTCTCCCAGCGCAGGCCGGCCAGCCCAACTTTCGTGCACCCTGGACAGCTCATCCGTCAGGTGTCTTTCCCCACGTGCTTGACATATTTCAAGACGGGAGCCTGTACATTGTTGATGCACCAGGTCACTTGCCAGGCCACATCAACATGCTGGCAAAGACCGGAGCCAGCACAAGCGTGTATCTGGGGGGCGATGCATGTCACGACAGGAGAATCATCCGGAAGGAAAAGGAAATCGGCACGTGGCCAGATGCGGAGGGCCATGTGTGCTGTATCCATGTAAGTCGGGAAATGGCCGAGCAGACAATTGAGCGGATCAGGAGAGCCGAGGCGGAGGGAGTGGAGGTCATTCTGGCGCATGATGTGGAATGGGAGCGAGATGCGAGGAACAGACTTCGCTTTTGGGGAGCGAAGTGAGAATTGGATATTTGGGTAGAAGGCTCGACCTCGTCAACATCCCCCCGTCTTGAAAGCTCGAAGTGTCCCTGAGGCACGAAACCTAAGGAGAAACGCTTGCACAAAAGTGGCGGGCAGCTTTACCTCAAAGCTTCCGGGACAAGCGAGTATCGGACGAGATATGTAAGTGAAAGAAGAGAAGAAGCAAAGCCCTGGGATTGCCATTTTCATCTTTACGGTAATGCACTTTCGTTCCTTCCCTACATAGCAGATCCATGGAGCGCGTTATGGGTATATCGAGTGCAAAGAACAGAGAAAGAGAAAGAATCAAAAAGACGGCCCCCCATTCCCAGAAAATCATACAGGAGCACCATGGCCCTCCTTCATGGCGCAGTTCTGCGCAGTTCCAAGCATGAACAGCAATACTCGATAAAGCTGTGGTAAGTGCGACGCTTTTCGGGCGCGGCCGTCGTCTGGTAGAAGCCGGGTACTTCACCATCTCTCTTCTACAGCCTGTCATCGAGTCGGGAGAAAGTCCTTCGAATCATTCCTCTGCTCGGCCGCTGACTCGGGGAAGGCCGCGATTCCCGCAGCGATGCCACCTGCCATGAAACAGAGAGACACGATCGACCAAATGACACCCCAGCACTGCGAGGAACCTCCATAGCGTTGAGAAAAGACACTGGCGTCGGACTCGTTCACTTTGCGTAAGATGAGGTCGTCGCACTGTGTGTCGCGCAACGTTAGCAGGGAAGAGACAAGCGAGTCCGGGTGATACTGACAATATCCCACACCGAGTACAGAGCGGACATGACACCGATGAAGAGGACAACGAATCTCAAGGCCTCTGCATGCTGGATGAACCAACAAGCGAGCAAGAGTCCCACCGCAAGTAGCACGGTCAGGATGGTGAGCCAGTCCCGGCGAGCCCACCACAGCGTGAGAAGGAAACAGACGCCGAGAGCGATACTGGCGATCTTGCTGGCAACGATGTTGAAACCACAGAAAATGAGAAGGGCCCCGATCAGAGAAGATCCCAGGTAGCCGGCGGGTAATGTGATGGCGCTGATACCTCCGTACATGTGCGTCACGCCCCCTTCTCTCGGGTCCAGGGAGATGGACTTGACACGTCCTCCCGTACAGCAAGCAGCGAAAGCATGCCCGAATTCATGGAACGCAATGACAAGCATCTACACGGCAGAGTCAGTACCGCACAGCACAGCGCCCAGCACGTACGAAGTGCTTCCAACATCACCACTCACTCACTCACCTTGAAGGGCCAGAGAGACCAACGAAGATAGGGCAAGTTCCACAGAAGCGCAATGCCCACCGTGTAGGCCGCGATTACGCCCAGCGTCACTTTCTGGGTATCATTCACCGTCAAAGCACGCCGTTGCAGATGGCGGACACCAAGCGTTGCAATATCAGGCCCAGCAGCCACGGCGGCCCTCCTAACACTGCGGAGACCTCCCGAGACGGGTTCTGATGCGAACAGCGCGCGTGCGATCTGGAAAGGGGCCATGGCGGTAACCTCTATCTATTTGCGCAACGCTGAACGAGTGTATGCAGCAGCGGAATCTTCTGAGATGATGAGATTTTTTGTTGATGTTTTTTTTTTTGTTTTTGTTTTTGTTTTTGTTTTACGCAATGGAAGAAGATCTCTGCGAAAGGTAATATGTTGGCAACAGACAGGGCTGACGCGGTTTCAGCATGGGAATGTTGACGAATGGGTTGACTGCGCCTCGGTCGGGATGGTGGCTGAAAAGGCTATTTCCAGCGGTCGAGATGGTCGGAGCGCCCGGGTTCGAGTAGGAGTACCGGTAGGAGTAGCGCCTCGTGGATAATATGAAAAGTGCGGAACAAATATGTGTACATGTAAATATATATATATGTATATACGTATATATGTATGTGTATTTACAAGTGAGGATCCCAGTTGGTGGTGCGATTCGTGGCCGGAATGGCTCTTCCTGTTGACATAGGTATTGATCGCGAATGCTACCGACCTGGAAAAGGGGTTGCGCCGAAGTTCGCTTGGCCGAGGTGGGGCCAGTGAGGAGTCCCTTGACAGAGTATTGACTTCTATACCTACTTCGAACAGCTTCAGAGCCAGGCTTCTCCAGCTTTTGTCCCTCCCTGACCGGAGTGATCGCTATCTGCTGGAAGGGCCGTTCCCGCAGCAGGCTGGAAAGTCTGGCTGTTCGTTGTCGAATACTGATTGGTGACTTGGGCGCCGAGGGGGAGCCTGAAAAGCTCTTGGTGGTTTCGTGTTGGGATTGACCACCGATCAACTGATAGCGCCAGGCTCATTTCCTTCTCAGTTGAGTTGAGCTTACAGTCGATAATGCGAAGCCTCGAGATACCTACACTTCTTCGCTAATATTTCGAGGAATCGTGTATCCGAGCTTATGCTTTTTGTGCAAGTCCTGCTGAAAAACCTGGAGAAGAGCCTGGCATTTCAGGTCGGTATTTGGCATCTATGATATGGATACTTTGGCTATAGTAGGGTTGAGAAGGTAGGTCCAAGCCATGTCGCTGGCCACGTGTGAAATACGATACTGACTGGTGTGAACTGGCGTCAATCTTGGGGCCAGCCCCAAGTTTAAGGGAAAATTTGCGGTGATGATAGTTCGATGAGATGAGTCTCACTGGGGCAGTGAAGCATCTAGGGGTCTGAAATAAACTTCACTGGAACAAAATTAAAGCAGAATCCCCGAGTCCTTAGATGCTCGCCTTCGAGGCTGCTCGCCAAACGTGCTGTATAGACGGAAATTTATCAAGCCCAGCAACGAAAATTCTGGAAAAACCATCTCCTCATTCGTCTGATTCGTATTAATCACATATTGCCATTTTTGACGTCCAACTTTATAATATAATACTACGATGAGAGGCAAAGGTGATGTGGTGACGTTGAAAGAGACATCCGAGCAACAGCTTTAATAGTGGGACTGGGACATTAGCGCCTTTCCAGAAATCAATCAACGCGCTCGCGTCTGCAACCTCTACCTCTCTTCTTCTCAACTCCCCTCGACACCTTACCACCACCCTCCGCCATCACCACGAATCCCAGTCGCCATGGGAGATATCAAAATCGACAAGAAACTGTTCGAGGAACGTCTGTCGCACTTTATATCCGCGTGGAAGGCGGACAAACGGGCGGGTGACGCGCTCTTCAATGGCGTCTCTTCGATCTTGGTGGTGATGGGCAAGACCGACGAGAGCGCACAGTTCCAGAAGAATAATGCGTTACACGTATGTGTCCCCAGATTCGATCGGTGTAGGGCTGCGATGGCTGATGCGTGCGACAGTTCTGGCTGCTTGGCTACGAGTTCCCAGCTACCCTCCTCCTTTTCACCCTAGAAGGCCTGTACGTCGTCACAACAGGAAAGAAAGGTACGAAATACTCTCAACTCGATCTGTGGGCTTGCGGAAAGGCTGACTGGAACTACAGCTAAGCATTTGGATTCTTTGAAGGGTGGAAAGATACCGCTGCATCTTCTGCTCCGGGGCAAGGATTCGGAGCAAAATGAGAAGATTTTCGCCGATATCAATGGCCACATCAAGGCAGCAGGCGTAAGTCAAAGCCCCGGAATCACCAGGCTCCAGGCAACTAACGGATATGGACCCATAGAAAAAAGTTGGCGTCATAATGAAGGATACCTCCGCCGGACCTTTCGTTGACGAGTGGAAAAAGGCATACGCCAACATCGCCAAAGATGTGGAAGAGGTGGACATATCCCCTGCCTTGTCAGCTGGCGCAATGGCTGTGAAGGATGAGAATGAGCTGGTAGGTCGAGCTACATACGATCCTTCCACCAAGCTGACATTTCATAGCGTGCTATGCGCAATTCTTCGAAGGCATGCATCGCCCTAATGAACCCATATTTTGTAGAGGAAATGTCAAATATCTTGGACGAGGAGAAGAAAGTCAAGCACAGCGTTCTGGCAAACAAGGTGGACAGCCAACTCGACAATGCAAAGTTCTGGAAGACAGTCGAGCTCCCGAATAAGCAAAAATTGCCCTCGGACTTCGATCCTGGTCAACTGGACTGGACACATGGCCCGATCATCCAAAGTGGTGGGAAGTTCGATCTCAAGATGAGCGCCCAAATCGACGACGAACTTTTACACGCCGGAGTAATTATTGCCTCATTCGGTCTTCGATACAAAACGTACTGCTCGATCATTGCGCGCACATACCTGGTTGACCCGAACAAGTCACAGGAGAGTAACTACAAGTTGCTACTTCAAGTGCATAGTCTTGTAATGAAGGAAATCCGGGATGGTGCCCATACGAAGGATATTTATGCGAAGGCTCTAGGCCTGGTCAAGGCCAAGAAGCCGGAACTCGAAAAGCATTTCACAAAGAACGTCGGAGCTGGAATCGGCATCGAAACCAGAGATTCATCTCTGATCCTCAGCGCCAAAAACCACAGAACTTTGAAGGACGGAATGACCCTCTGCATCACAACGGGATTCAACGATATTGAGAATCCAAACCCGCAGGACAAGAAGAGTAAGACATACTCTATGATTCTTTCCGATACTGTACGTGTATCAGTTTCCGAACCTGTTGTGTTTACTGGCGATGCGCCTTCGGACCTGGATGCGACATCTTTCTTCTTCAAGGATGACGAAGAGCCTGCGCCAACTCCGAAGAAGTCTCAAAAGAAGGACTCCGCGGTTGGAGCGGTAGCTGCCAAAAACATCACCAAGACGAAGTTGCGTGCAGAGCGAACTACCCAGGCGGACGAAGGTGCTGAGGCCCGACGGAGAGAGCACCAGAAGGAACTGTCGAGGAAGAAGCAAGAGGAAGGTCTGAAACGTTTCGCCGAGGCGACTGGCGACTCCAATGCGCAATCGGTAAAGAAGTTTAAACGTTTCGAGTCGTACAAGCGAGACAACCAATTCCCTGCTCGAGCGCGAGATCTGGCAATTCTCGTGGATCAGAAGAACGCGACGGTGGTTCTCCCGATCATGGGTCGGCCAGTGCCTTTCCACATCCAGACTATCAAGAATGCCAGCAAGAGCGACGAAGACAACCTGTCATACTTGCGAATCAATTTCTTGTCGCCTGGTCAAGGTGTTGGCCGCAAGGATGATCAGCCCTTCGAGGACGCTTCTGCTCATTTTGTACGGAGTGTGACCTTCAGATCCACCGACGGAGACCATCTGCAAGATATTGCAAATCAGATTGCCAACATGAAGAAGGACGCTTCTAAGCGCGAGGCTGAAAAGAAGGAGATGGAGGATGTGGTTGAGCAGGACAAGCTAATTGAAATTAGAAGTATGTCTCCACTTTGTTGAATGTGTCATTCTGCCTGCTAACAATCCTAGATCGTCGACCTGCTGTTATGGACAACATCTTTCTTCGTCCAGCAATGGATGGGAAGCGAGTTCCTGGAAAGGTCGAGATCCACCAAAACGGTCTCCGATATCAATCTCCTCTCAACACCCAACACCGCGTCGACATTCTCTTCAGCAACGTCAAGCATCTCTTCTTCCAACCCTGTCAGCATGAGTTGATTGTCATCATTCACGTCCACCTCAAGGACCCGATTTTGATTGGAAAGAAGAAAACCAAGGACGTTCAGTTCTACCGCGAAGCTACTGACATCCAGTTTGACGAGACGGGAAACCGAAAGCGACGATACAGATACGGTGATGAGGAAGAGTTCGAACAGGAACAAGAGGAACGAAGACGCCGTACCCAACTCGACCGAGACTTCAAGTCCTTCGCCGAGAAGATAGCCGAGGCGGGCAAGAACGAGAACGTCGACGTCGACGTTCCCTTCCGCGAGCTCGGATTCAACGGTGTCCCCTTTCGATCCAGTGTCTTCTGCCAGCCGTCCACCGATTGTCTGGTTCAACTCACCGAGCCACCTTTTATGGTCATCACGCTCGAGGACATCGAAATTGCCCATCTGGAACGTGTGCAGTTTGGTCTCAAGAATTTTGATATGGTTTTTGTCTTCAGGGATTTCAACCGTGCCCCTTACCACATCAACACCATCCCGGTCGAGTCCCTCGAAAACGTCAAGGAATGGCTCGACTCCGTCAACATTCCGTTCTCCGAAGGACCTTTGAACTTGAACTGGCCGACAATTATGAAGACTGTCACAGCAGATACACATCAATTTTTTGTCGATGGTGGCTGGTCGTTCTTGCAAACCGAGTCGGATGATGAGGACGAAGATCCGGAGAGCGAAGAGAGCGCGTTCGAGATGAGCGATGCTGAGTTGGCTGCCAGCGACGAGAGCAGCGACGAGGAAAGTGATTTTGACAGCAATGCCAGTGCCGACGCCAGCGATGAGGGCAGTGAGGATGACGAGGCGACGGATGGGGAGGACTGGGATGAGCTTGAGAAGAAGGCGAAGCGTAAGGATAGAGATGCGGGGATGGAAGAGAGCGAGGATGATAAGCCGAAGAAGAAGAGGAAGCATTAAATTTGGTTGATCTTTGTGGAGACAATGCCACCGATGTTTGTCCTTGGAGACTATCAGACGGGCAGAAGAGGGATACTTTATCAAGGAAGGGAGGAAACAGGAAAGGTTACGATATTCGAGAAAATCGCATGGGTCGATGGAGCTGGCTGTATTTTTCAGAAAAACGCTCGTCTTTTCCTGGGTGGCGTTTGGGTTCAGCAAAAGGGTCGGACGGTCTAGTTTAATCGTGGATCGTCCTGAGGATTAGGAGCTGCGGGAACGGGCCGCGCAGGCAGAAACAAAACGTAGCGCGCCGTGCAAGCTAATATAGGCGATGAATGCAATGCAATGAAGTTTGCCATGCTGCAGTATACTCTCCATATATTCTGCCTGTGCATATCATGTTGCTATGCTCATGATTATGCCGGAGGATAGCGGCGGCGCAATATTTTTTAGGCTTCTTTCCCCCTTTTCCAAAGCGAGCCAGCCAGCCAGCCAGCCAGCCAGCCTACTTAATCACAAATCAATTGTCTCAGGGTAGCTACCTACCTACCTAGGTACTACCTCCGTGGGAAGACCGGTATCAAAAAAAGATTTCTGAAGTCGGGTACATTTCGCCCGCTCGCTACTCATTTATTAGGTATTACGATGAAACCTGGCTCTGCGATATCGAGGAGGGACTTGGAATTCATTCTCAAATTCATATTCACATTCACATTCATACTCATACCTATCCATCTCCATAGTGCGTGCGAACTACAACTACAACTCCTCCGTACGGTTCCAATGGAAAAAAAGAGTGCCAAGCACTCGTTTACTCACTCGTTCTTTCAACTGGTTAGTCTAGTCTGGTCCGGTCCGGTCCGGTTAGTCTTTCAAAAAGGAAATAGGAAGGAATAAGGAGATTCCGTTGGAGGCTAAAAGTCCTACTTAGTCTTTGGGTACGAGTCTTTGGGTACGAGTCTTTAGGTACGACAGGTTGTACTTGTACTTACCTACCTACTTACTTACTTACTTACCTACTTACTTACTTTCGGAGAAAAGAAAAAAGAGAAAAAAAAAGGGGGGGGGGCTGAGCCGAGAATATACTCAGATACGCAGATAGATATATACCGTACGTAGGTAAAAATATAAGTGGAGGTAACGCGTTATCCACCTCACCTTCTTAGACTAGATAATCAAATGATAGGGTTTTCACTTTTCATAAATTCGGAAGAGCAAACATCTAACGGCAGACGTTGATCGATGAATACTTTCCTCGCACCGAATTGATTTTGATGTGATTTAATTTGACATGTAGGGACTCATTCTCCCACCTCAACTTGAAATCAGACAGCAAAGACTCCATTCACGAGCGGGAAGACGAGGAAGCAAGACTCGATGTGGGTGTAGATGCATCCTATTAAAAAACGGATCCCCGCCGCTATCACCACTATTTCCATTCCATTTGTCTCTTCTTCCCTTTGCCTGCTCACCGGCGTCGTATCGGGATCAGAGCAAGAAAACGAGAAGCACAGTGCAGCGAGTATCACAAATCAAAACAAAAAAAAAACACAAAAAAAGCAAAACCACGCCAGAATCGCTTGTGCCCGGAAACCCCAGATTCGCTAGGAAATGATCGCAGAGCTCAGTCTGCGGATACTGTACAGCCCTGCCCATCCTACAGCCCAGCCGTCATTTCATTCAATTCTTCGCCCTCCCCGTTTGAAATTATTTCCTCTTCGTTTCTCTTCTCTCGTCTTTTTTTCATCACAATCGTAGAGATCTCGCCGTTTTCTCATCATCACCACGAGCTCGCGTCTAATTATGGCCTTCTCCATTACCCGGGTGGTTCGACGCACCTCCAGCGGTTTGATCGTTGTTCCACGTCAGATACGTGTGGTCGCCCAGCTTTCTCGGCCGGACGAGGTGTGTAATGGTGAACAGGGTGCCAAGCAAGATGCAGATACCGCCCACAGCGACGTAAGCGATGCCGAGGAAGGGGTTTTTGCCGCCCATCACAGTGCGGGTGGAGATGATGATGGATTTAGTGCCGCCATACTGAGTCACGTTGAAATCTGGTTGCTGTTAGTAAGTTTGCAGATAGTGAGGAAGCAGGGAAGACGGACGATGATCAACATCCAAAGTATAGGTCCCTGTCTTCATGGTGGCCGTATCGTTCCTCTGCGCCAGCTTGCTGAAAGTTGGCAACCCGGCCAAACGCATCCACACCTGGAACTGCTCATCGTTTTGCAAGTCTGGATGGTTGTCGTCTGTGTATCCATTTGGGAATCTTTTCACCCAGTTCGGGGGCACCAAGACGTCGCTCCAGTTGTAACTCGTCGGTCCGTACAGTTCGCGATCACTGGCCCATGAGATACCTGTTTGGCTTTGCATAACATATGTCTCGTTATCTGTGTTTGAGCCGGGGACATTCAGGAGAACAGGGCTATAGAATGTATCGTTGAAGACGGAATTGGCGGCCAGTCCACAGGGGTAGTATGGCTTCTTGACCCCGTTGATGGTTTCGACTGTGAGAGGGGTGCAATCACCACCATCAATACTATTCGCGGATATGGCCTCCCCGCCCAGCTGGCCCAGATGGAAGGACTTTGCATATCGTCGATGGTTCTGGTAGAAGTCCGTGAGCTTGTAGTAGAACAACACAGGCGGCTTCATGTCATTGGGAATCGTAAAGTTGATGGTGCAGCGAGTAGTGAGCACGTCAACACCTGCTGCATAGGTGTAGTTGATCTCGCGACGGGACCAGGAGGGCGCGTCGGCGTTCGGCGAGGATGAGTTCCTGTTGAAGTGCATGGTTACATCGCTGTCATCCATGGCGGCGGTCGCGGGATAGACGGGGGCATCGGAGTAGCATCTGGAGTAGTCGAGGATTATTTCTTGGACCTGTTGCTCGTTGTTGGAATCAGCTTTCAGCTTTCAGCTTCCGTAACTTCTCTCTCTCTCTCTCTCTCGCCGGTTGAGTGGGCATACGAACCTGCGCGCTGGCGTAAAGCAATCCTCCCCCAATTGGCGCGAAGATGATGCCGATGGCGAAGAAGAGAGGAAGCACAGTCTTTGGCGTGAGAATCGGTCTGAGGGCGCCTTGTTAGCTATCTGTAGTCTTGTTCCGGGGGGTATTCGGTGATCGAGCACGACGCCACTTACTGCCAGGCCTTTAATCGCTGTTGACGGAAGGCCGTATCTATTCATGTCAGCCTGGTCCTCTGTTCGATTGTCTCGTCGCGTCTCCTCTTCTCCTCTCTCTCCCTCTCCCTCTGCTCCCTCTATCATCTCCATCACATCCGCCGGGTATGCGCAGTACTCACTCGCCGGCCTCCTGCTCTTGGGCTTCTTGTCATCCGTCGGGGTGTGCAGGTCCTGTGAAGAGATCGAGTCCTCGTGGACCATGCCCGGGTGTGTATCAGCCATCGTGCTGTGCTTGGGGTATCATGGGCCGGCTCAGTCCGGTCTTGCGTTCTCGTTTTTGTGGTTGTGAGGGAGACGTGCTCAAACTTCGGAATCTGGTCGTGGTCGTGGTCGTGGTCGTTCGTGGTCGTTAGTAGTCGCGACCCTGATAAACGTGTCCCCGCTGCCGTGGAAGCCGCCGACGTTCCGAATATTTTTAGCGCCTTTTGCTCAGCCACAGCTGAAGCATCTTCTTTGACGAAGTCGGTGAGATGTCCAGTCAGCGTTCATTCATTTACTATACAGTAGGTGAGATGCGTATTCAGGGCCAACTAAATGTTCTTGTAGCAAGAGAATGGTCAAGTTGACGAGGGAGGTATCGGCTGTTCCTTGGTTCGTTCGGCATCAGGAAACGATGGGTTTGTTTTGTTATCACGTTATCACATTAACGTTCAGCAAAGGGTCGGGGCTGCAGGTGATAAGCGAAGTCAATACTCTTTCGCTCTCATTCCAGCTACAGATTTCGATTTATCACAGATAATCTTGTAATGCCCAGAGAAACTCCACGTGCCTGCAAGTATATGCTTCTGCCAAACACTACAAACTTCCTGGGCCAAGTGATAGCACCCACCCCTTGTATTCCTTCCTCGGCCCAGCAATACCCAAATAACAATTCTTCTCATCATGGGTTCTCATCGCGAAACATATACGAGCCACCAGGTCTCATAGCCTCCCTGTACCGCTGCTCCACAATCCCTCTCTCCATCTCCTTTACCAGTCGACGATCCTCAGCCTCCTTCTGCGTAGATGGAAAGTCCACGTCCCAGAAGCCTGGCGGGGTCGGTTGCCTCTCATACGCATGCCTATGCTTTCCATGCTTATTCGCCTGTATTCTTGTCTCAGATTTGATCAGAAGTTCCCTTCTTTCGTCCTCACTCAGTCTTGGGATCTTGTATGCATTGTCGCCCAAGTAATCTTCCAACTGCAGGTCGTCTCGCTCCTTTTGCGAAGGTGCCATGAATGCTTCTCGCCGATCGATCTCTATTTCTGCCAATGCCCGAAACTTGGGACCGCAGCAGTTGGGCTTGACGCATCCTTGAAGGCACTTTCGAGCATCTCCCCGGACTACTTCGCTGTATGCATATCCTACCCCATGGTTGTAATTTGGGTTGATCTTAAAGTCCTGGAGAGTGAGCTTATGCAAGGGCCTAGAACGCAGAGGCTCTTGATCAGGGTCCATTAGATACTCCTTTTCTGTCTGACCCTGTTTTTTCTTCGTGATTTCTGGCCTACCAGTGATAGCAGACACTCGAGGGGATGGTTTGGCAGCCTCAATTGAAGGTCGTGATTTTGATTTGCTTTCCTTGAGGAATTCTTGTACATTCCGGCGTGGCGGCAGCTGAGTTGGATCAGGCGTCGGAGAACGCATCAGCATTTCCTCATCTGGCGATGGTTCCTTGGATTTCCTGGAAAGTACTTTGAGTATCGGTCTGACCGGCTCTACCGAGGTCTTTTTAGAAGTATTGGTTGATGGCTTCGAAGGCACTGCGACTGGAAGAGATCCTTGGGGCGTGGGTCTTGATGTAGCAGTAGATCCCTGGCTAGTGGGTGCTAGCGATCTAGCAGTCGTTGGGTTTCCTCTACTCAAATTGGGTGGAACCCGTGTGTGGTTGGAGTACGCTATATCTGCTGGGATATTGGCTGCCACCTCGCGAGCCAGACTAGAAGTCGCAGTAGCTGCTCGCTGTTGCTCAAGACCGGCCCTTGGACGAGCAGATTGTAGAGCACCGTTGCCTGCTAGAGGCCTAAGAATAGCCTTGACCGGAGATGGATTTAAAAGCAAATTCTCAAGACATTCGCTATTGTGTAAAGGATGTCTCGTCGCTGTTCTCGGGGAAGACTCGCCATCTTCAGCCACGCTTCCAATATCAGTCGTCACTCTGGGTCTTTTAGGTGCTCTGTCTATACCATCGGAAGTTCTGGGTAGGACACTTCTGTTGGTGCTCCGCGGTTGCAGGATGGATCTAGTTTCGCGGGGGGCAGATGTCGCCGGAGGAGTACCCTGTGAAGTAGTCGCACACGACAAATTCCGCGGCTGTCTGCTCTGATTAGAGCTCTGCGTAGAGTCCTGGGTGCTTGCGCTGATTCTTGAGACTTGTCTATTTAAGGGAATGTCATGGCGCGCCTTCCTAGGCGTGTCAACCTTGTCCCCGATGTCGTCCAGGTCCATACTCCCATCTGAATCAATAGCTGGAAGGCGAATAGGACTGCTGCTCGATATCTCAACCTTCACTCTTTCCCGTGGAGTCTGCTCAACAGTGTCGTGCATTTGCTTGCGTTTATTGACTGTTCGTGACGTTACGACAACTGGAAAGCTTGTATCTGCAATCTGTTCCACGACAGCAGCTACAACTTCCCGTGCTGGAAGCTCTGGCTCGGCGGGATCCGAGCCTCCTTGTGTCGAGCTGGTATCATGGCCTTCGAGCGGTACAAATTCGGTTTCGGCAACATGGGTTTCCTCACGATTGGGGGGAAGCTCGATTTCCTCACGATTAGGCGGAAGCTGGATGTCCTCGTTGTCCGCAGCGTGAGCAAGCGGATCCTGAGCTGGTTCGACAGTCTGGGCTTGAGGTATATGCTGATTGCTTCTTGGAGGACTGCTGGCTGGGACCTGTACTTCGCTTCGACGCTGCCTGGTTGGTGGTCTGCATGGGGTGCTCTCGTCTCTCCTAGGAGTCCGATCGAATAGCGACGTCTCAATTGGCTCAATACCATGCTCCCTCAGAAGTGCCTTCAGTTTCTTGATCTCTTCCCCATACTTTCGATTCTTGTCTTTCTTCTTCTCCAGGGTCTTCTGCGTGGATTGCATCCACGTACCCCAATTCTTCTCACTCTGCAACAAATTGTAGTGCGATCTCTTGACCTTGTTATATTCGCCCTTGAGAGAGAGGTATTCCTCGCACATGGAATTGTATTTCTTGACAATTCCCGCGTACTGCTCCTTCGTGATGGGCATATCATTGGCCTCTATTTTGTTGAAAGACAGTGACGGAGTGCCCGTGCCAGGCGTGGAGCCCAAGTCATTTCCATGCTGGATTCGAGAGTGCGGTATCTGTAAAGGTGTCTGTATCGGGGTAGGTTGTTGCTGCAATCTGTTCTGAAGCTGCAGCGCCAAACGCTTGTTCTCCTTCTCCAATCCCTCAACCCTCACTGCAGCTGCCCGGGCTTTCTCCAACTCGTCTGACAGCCGGCTATGACCTTCTACAAGCTTCTCCACATTGGCCGAGGTCTGCCGCAGCGAATCGAGCTCCTCGCGGCTGATTCTGGTGAATTTGTCGTCGTTCAGCTCTGCAGATTGAGTCAGCGAAATCCAGCCAATTCGAGGGGCCGAGGGATTCATTAAATCAACTACCTGCAGCGAACCGGCCTCGCGACTTGTCATAGATCTTCAACATCTCTTTCGCAAATGCATCGCGATCTTTCTCTGAACGCGCCATCGTTGCCGGTGTTTATCGTGTTCGGGACATAGTTATGCGGTAGGGGGGAATAAATATTTCGGCTTGAGGGTCCGAGGCTACCAACTCCCTCTATTAACGCGCTGAGTCGTGAGACGCGGTTTCACGACGTCAGACTCGCTTATGTTGCCCCACGTGCCCTACTATTTTCACGAGTAAATATGATTTGTATTATAGGCATCTCTATTATAGCCCTTTTTTTTTTGGTAATAAATACTTTTCCTTGAAACTCGTCTTATCAGCATCTCACTATCGCTTTTTATTTTTATATCCAATCTGATCAGTCTCAAATTCAATTCTCAACTCTAACCACAGCTACTGTTCTGGCTGGTTAGAGTGGGCTCGGAACAGCTTGTAAACTGTTGGTTCCGGAGACTCATAGATAGGTTGGTTATTCAGCCATATTGCAATGGACCGTGAAAGTAGGAAATGAGCAACTGACTTTGCATAGCGCTAAATGTAATAAATCAATCATCAAAGAAGCAGCCTGTCCCCCTCAGACAAGAAAGGAATGGATAGAAGAGCAAGGTAGTTAGTTGTATTGTTCTAAGAAGCCCTGAACAAGGTGAGGCGGCTACCGTATATACCTCTCCCAAGTGGTTGTCTGTGCCACTTGCGAGCTCGGAAAAGGGATAATCGATTCTGTAGAACGATTCTCGCATAAGTCTGAACGACTCCCTCTCTTCCGCTCTGCTAAAACAAGAAAGAATGATCTTCTTTTCTATCCTTTCCTTTCTTTCTATTATAACCCAGTTGAAAGTGAATTTTTTCTTTCCCTCCTCCTCTTCACTTTCCCTTCCTTCTTCTTTCTACAACACCTCCACTCGTCATCCTTTATCACCTTTCATTCAAGACCATAAATAACCGAGGCACCTTTGAGCTCCTTCAGTATGGATATCGCGCCCATACTTCGAGGACAGGATCGCATCTCATCGAAAAAGAAACAGCGCCGTCTTATAGCCGCCCGCGGGCATGTGCCACACACACTCTACAAACTCAATATGCGCAGCATCTATAGCTCAACTCCATCAATCCTAGCTTCTTGAATTCTCCCAAAACACTTTCTTTCGCTTCTGGTATTCTTTTCAACATGCTTCTTACTGCCAATTCATCTCGGGAGTCAACTGACAGCAAGCGGGCCGGCCATACATGTTTTATTTTACATACATCCATTACAACAACCGACTCCTCGATAAGATGAAATCATAAACCTAGGAAATCTCAATCTCGATCTCGATCTCGAGCATGAGCTGCAGGTAAAGAAAGCTCTTCATGATAGCCGGCCAGACACAGACACAGCTCGGCCCAGCTCGGCGCGTATGTACATATGTATTCTCACCACCAATTTTTTGAGTTACGTCCTGCCCGCGCTCTCTCGCCGACTACATTACCCGCAGGAGATAATATTTATAGACGTCCCTACGCCCCGGCGTATCCCAAGATAGGTACCTAAGAAGGACCGGTCCGGTCCTTCTTGGCAGCCTGCAAGATGGGGATGAATTCTTAAATGTAACATTCGTAGCTCTCTGATTGATACAACTGCAGCACATACATTATACATACATACATACATACATATGCGCATGCACCTTCCCTTACTTTAACTTCAGCCGAGAGACCCGATCACACGACCGTCTTCTCGTGTCGTCTCCTCTTCAGCGCGCAAGCATATATAAACCCACCTCGCCACCATCAAGAAAAAAAACCCCCCATCTTCTACAAGACTCTCTGATCTGTGATCATAAGGGAAGAGAGCCGCGCGAGCCGTCTGAGAAGGGCCAGACCAGCTTAATTCTCAAGGAGGAAGGTGATGAATGATACTATTCTACCCTTTGCCATGCGGCTCGGCCTAAGAAATGCAGAGGAAAATTGGATGGCCACCTATCCACCTACAGATCAAGTAGAGTACATACGACACAAACTTACAATGCGAGGACGAAAATAAATTCATTGTCAATGTACGATCCATTGTCGTTGGGTTCTTTTGATTAGCTTTCTAGTTAGAGTATACCATGCCAATATATTACCCCTAAATGAAATATTGATGAAGGGAAGAAAAAAAAAAAAGGCATAGTGCGAAACGAGCGACTGAGCGGGCTGGATAGTCACTGCAGTGTCACATGCTGATGTGTTTTCAAAGCGTCGGAGAGCCATGCTTTTCTTTGAGCTGGGTTCAGAGCCTTCGGCCTATTTGGGATCGGATACTGCAAGCTGTGAGTATGTAGGTGTGTATGTAGGCCGACTCGCACTATATAGATATAGGTCACGGGCTGGATGGAATATTACCTTGTGCAGAGCGGAAAAAGAGACCTGGCACAGGATCAACGGTTTGAAGAAAGATCACTCGATTCAATTCGATTCGATTCGATTCACTGTTCAGCCCGACTCATATCTAGACTTTGCTCCTCTCGATATGCTCCACCTCGGCAGCTGCAGCCATCATATCCCCCTCCTCCCGCAGCGCTCTCTCGGCCTCTGTCAGTGGAATGGGCACCCACGCGATGAAGATCGGCAGCAGCACCGCGACGACCGCTCCCCCGCCCAGGAACCCAGCCGTCACGCCCCAGCCGAGGGTGTACCGGGGCGCGGTGTCGCTCGGCCAGAGGTGGCTCCCGTACACCGAGGCCAGGTTCCCCACGGCGTTGATCATCGCGATGGCGATGGCGCGCTTCTCGGCCGGGAACGCAATCGTCTTGGACGCCCAGGCGATGATGAGTGGGAGCGCGGACCAGATGCCGGCCGCGACGAAGCACAGCATCACGTAGCGCGCCGTGGGCGTCTGGACGACGGCGCACACGAGCGCGCTGACGAAGCCCAGGCTGAGCGAGGCGGTGATGTGCCATCGGCGCTCGCCCACCCGGTCGGCGTTCCACGCCAGGATGTTGAGGACGACCGTCGCGGTCGCGTAGACCGGGACCGTCATGTACTGGGCGTCGGTGGTGGAGTAGCCGAGGGATTTGGTGATGGTCGGGATGAAGTACGAGATGGTCCCTGCGCCGAGATCGAGCACGAAGAGGAACATGAAGGCGTAGGTGCGCGGGTCGATCGCGGCCGCTTTGAATGCTTCCCAGTGGGAGAGACGGTCGCCGCCGGACGACTCCTGGCTGTCGACAATGATCCGCACGGTGGCTAGCTGTCGCTGCTCGAGGCTCAAGGCTTTGGATGAGTGAGGGAAGTCGAGGAGAATCAGCGGGGTGATGAGGGCTACGCCGACTGTAGCCACTCCCTCGATGATGAAGAGCCATCGCCAGCCTTCGATGCCATGGACGCCATCGAGATTGCCGGTGATGGCTCCAGCGAGAATCCCACCGAAGGCGCCGGAGAGGACGGCAGCACTGTAGAAGATGGCGAAACGCTTGCCGATTTCTTCCGTCTTGTACCAGCAGGACAGCATGAAGAGGACACCGGGGAAGAAGCCGGATTCGACGCAGCCGAGCACGAAACGAAAGGCGAGGATGGAGCCGTAGTTCTGAACAGAGGCCATGGCAGCGCTGAGAGCACCCCAGACAAGCATGATGAATGGGAGGAAGAGGGAAGGGCGCGAGCGGGAGAGGATCATGTTGGACGGCACCTCCATGATGAGGTATCCAAAGAAGAAGATTGAGATGACCCAGGCATAGCCTGCGAATTGTCAGCAAGGGAGGAAAAGGTGAGGACGATGGACGACTGCAAACTTACGGCCGCCTCCAAGCTTGAGGTCATCGTCCATTCCAGCGGTCTTAGCATTTCCCTGGAAATTTTTATCAGAAATATGTTGCTTCGCGTACGTTGGTACATAGCACACTTACGATGTTGGTGCGGTCAACATAGTTCAGGACATACATGATCCACAGGATGGGGATAAGATGCAGATCGATTTTCCGAACCAACTTCTTTTCCGCATCCGTGTTGGGAATATAGTTCCGTATCGCCTGCTGGAGTTCGAAGGCCTCTTGGTCCACGGCGTCCTCCTTGGTAGGGTAATCTTCCATTTCGACTCGAGCAAGCTCATCTTTCTTGGAGTCCGAGTCCGTCATTCTCGGTTAATGAGACTCGTTGTTGTGAGGGAATTGAGATGAGATGGAAAGACGAGATCAGGTATCGCCAAAGGGCCTTTTCTTTTGATCTGATCGACGCAAGAGAGAGGCATCCGAGGCAGTTTTATATCGCCATGATGTTTCAATTGGAGTGGATCTGGGGTCGGCTGGTGTTTGTCGGAGGTCCAGGAGTGTGGAGTGTGGAGTGTGGAGAGCCAAGCTCATTTCGACCGGGGAAGTAAACAGTAGTATGTACTCCGTATGGCTAAGTGGCTGCGAGAGCCTGCGGACAAATGCCCGGGATCATTTTTCGGGCCGAGAGAAGCCAATGCGGAGGAAGCCTGGCCAAACAGTCTTATCTTGTCGCCCCCATACCGCTTGTCATAAAGCTTCGAAGTCGACTTTTCCGGGGAATTCGGAGAAGAGCTGGAGTGGGGTGAGTCGTGACCGTTGCGAGCGAGACCCGACAGCTGCGAGTTCGAGAGATCTGGGTTGATATATGTGATGAGTCGTGCGTGAATCATGATCACGAGATGGATGCGGAATGAACTACGTACTCCATGATACGGCTTGCCACGTCGGATACATACATCAGCAGGATAATAGAGGTTCCTGCTGAGGACATGAGCCTTCACGATATACCAATATGCATACGTACCGGTACATACATACGGTATGCAATTGCTTTTCCCCACAGGCTGCAGATCCAGGCCAACGCCTGAGCACTTTCCGGCCTATCGGAAGCCCCTTCCAGCCCGTTTGTAGCTCACAGCTGGAAGAAGCGAGTAAGTAGCCGACCTGCCTGCACGATATCTACTCGGTACAGCCGAATACAATCCAACGCTCAATGGCCGCCTCCTGCATCAAAAGTGGGTGCCATGACATCGAAGAAGCCCATGGGACAGTAATGCTGATCGTAAAGTGGGAGCGAGCTGTCGAGCATCCCCAAGTTCAAATAATCGACGGGATATGCCAGCCCCGATTGATCGATTGCAGCAGTATCCGGTGATCTTGCACGGATGCCTCGTTGAATGTTTGCAGCATTTGTTCGTTCCTGGGACTCCCAATCGGTATAGCGATCTAGCCTCTTCGTTAGTCCAGCAGCAATATGACCTGACAGATACCGTTCGCCAGCTTGTGTGCCGTTCAATATACCGATTGTTCTCGTGACCCTGCGGCGATCTCTAGTAATCATCCGACCAAGCTACTCTGACTCGAGGGACAAGAGATCCCTTGGAAAGTTGCAGTTTCGTAAAACTCACTGGTCTCGGACCAAAAACCGGATCAAGTGCCTATTTCAAGGGTACCCCACTTTTGTTGTACTTTCAGAAGAAAGACCGCGGAATAAGTTATCATGGTAGACTTCTAGCAAGTTAGCGAGCGTAGGAAACCCTTGATGAAAAGAAGGGTCACGGAAGATCTACCAGAACTTCACTCAAATTGGAAAACAAGAAGGGCTTCTCGTACCAGATAAATGGGTACGCCAATGGCCGACTTTCGCACGTCGGTATCATTCAACACCGTTCGGAGACTCGGCATAGCCGAGCTAGTCGCAGTACCCGCAAGCTCTATCCGACCGGTCATGAGCTCTGCAGGCTCTTGGAGCCCTCGCAATGCAAGAGAGCTGACTTGTAATTTGCCAAAATTTTCATGCACTGCGAGATCTGAGATTAGCGAGTCTTCTCGAATTGAATGTCCCCAAAGAATATCGTGGCATGAGAAGAAAAGCATTGGCACTCACAGATGACACCTTATGCGGGATATAAAGACACGTAGGGGTTTGGTGCAAGCAAAGGTTCCCATTTGGTTTTCCAGCATTCCAAATCAGCATTGAAATGCCGTAGATGTGACAAGACTTCTTCGGACAACACCTGTTCAATATCAGGTCCAAGTGTGTTGTACACTTTCGTGAGTATTAGGAAAAGAGCGACCTAGTGAAAGAGTCAGTAAGCACTCATCGGTGCTCTAGGGACGGCACACAGACCTGTTTCGCCTACCTGGCTGTGCAGACGAAGATCCGCTTGTGCGATTTCTGGCAGCGGGAGGAATTCCTCATGGTAGGTTATCGTTTTGCTTTCGTGGATCACAGGTGGACTCCCGTAGGCGATACTGAAATGGTGGTCGCATACGTAAAGCAAGTACCATAACCTGGCGCCTTCGACATGGTCTTGTGAGCCTCTAAGGGCGCGAGAATACCTTTGGTGCAAGTTTAACTCCGTTGCGATTCTGATAGCATGCCCTGATAATTTCCCTTCCTCAAAAAGTCAATATTGACATTCGCTAAGACTTGTTGAGTATGATAAGCGGTAACAGGCTTCAGGATCTGCGACCGCGATCTCTGGCTGTCGATTTCCTCCTATGCTCAAGATTTTTCGCAGAAATTTTAATAGGGAATCGGAGCCAAAATTGCCCGCGAAGTTTTACCAAAAAAAAAATGTGTAGAATCAATGTCGCCAGATGAGGTTGACCGCTGAGATCATCTATATACCAGCAGGAAAGGCTCAAGAATGCAACTTACAGCTGACGTCTGATAGCCAGAAAGCACCGATGCATAACCCGCGAATCCCATCCAAGACGTGATAACGCTCACTGTCTGAAATTTTGGCACTGCTATCTGCAAAGCCTTGAAATCAAATTTCTAAGATGATCGAGACAACGGACGCAATAGACTATAACTACGAAATCGAGTCACAAACCAGTGCTATGAGCTCTGCGTAGCATATGTCAAATGTCTGCCCTCGACCAGGAATGTGTAATGCAGTAACTGTGAGTATCGCCGCTAGCAAAAGCGATGAAGACCTCACGGAGGTCAAATTATCGTGTACCAAGGCTATTCAGCCCCATAGATAGTGATTGAGCGACCGACTGAATATCGCAAAAAGCCCCTCGACTTCTGACTCTGATATCTTGCCCTCGGAAATGAAGTACTCCAAGACTGCCTTCCCGGATCCTCCACTAGGGTCACTTCTCAGGTTCCTGAATTCGCGACTTCATATACGCTACCCATCGGGGCTGATACGAGAGCATCGTTCATCTTACTTTCAGGATCCAAGGAGTGCTCTCTCGTCATGGCCATTACAGCCGTCCGAGTAGTTCTCGACTCCTGCAGTTGTTCGATGACAGGATCTGGTGATACCACCTGTCCAGAACAGGTCAGCATGTTTCGAGTGTCCCAGGACACTCGATTACATGAGAGCTATCCGCCTGCCGGAGCCAAAGAATATAGTGTACCGACCTGAACGAGTTGCGTTGGCCGATGGAAGGATTCTAGCGATGGAAGATCCAGGACATCAAGAATCTTTGATACTGCTCGTTGCAGGCATTTCGAATCCCCTTCAATTGTCGATTTCCACCTAATGACACATTAGTAAGATGTAGATGCATCGATTCCAGTTCCGGAGGGTTTTGGGTACATTGACTTACTCTGTTCCCTCCTCTAGTAAGGACTGTAAGCTCTTATTCACGACAAAATTTCGATTCCTTCCTCGAGCACCTCGTGCAGATCGCCTTGCCAGGTCCAACGTCGCACTTGATCTTCCTCGCCTGACACTCTGTGCACGCATGCACCTTTCTCGATATCTTGGGCAACCCTGCTGTCACCTCGCCCACGTGATTGGCCTCAATTAAGCTGTCGATCTCATTCCGGGCACGTTTCATCGCCGCAATCCCCAGAGCTCTTGCCGTGTCGCTCAGGTTCTCGCACCGTCCGGGATGGCCATCAATTGGGTGCCGGTGGAGCTGTGTACTGCGTGCTGCGTGCTGCATTGAAATACTCGCTTGATATTGCCGCCGCGACGAGGATTGAGAAGGAAACTCTGAGGCGGAGCTGCAAGGAGATCCTGATCTCAGGGTAAAGGTTCGGAAGGGAGTCGGTCCGACCTGTCAGTTCGGTGAGTCGCGTTCTGCCTCTTGAACATATACGTACGACGATGCTTGGAGCCTCTCTGCTTGCGCCTCGTGACTGTGGACGAAGCGGCCTTTTCAACCCGTGACTTTTGCCCTGCGTGCCGCAAGATCCTCTTGCGGCGTCGACCGAAAATGCTTATGGCGAAATCGCTCCCGGGGAATCTGCTCACAACTCAATTCTGACCTGCTTATCCGCATGGTTGCCAATTCGAGTCTCGCAGAGTCCACGTGTGTGCGGAAGCGATGGGGCTGGCCGCAATACCTACCAAGTCACAGACAGAGTTTCCCCATGAATCGAACTACCCCGAAATACCCCTTCGAAATACCTTCGAAATACCCCTTCGGCCCATGAGCTCTACCAAGGTCCAAATCATCATCCTCACCAAAGTCACCGAGTTTCACAAGAATCGAAAGGCACGATTCGTCCATGCGCTGCTTGTTCTGCATTTCCTTTCCTGTCTAGTATGCTGAGAGGTTCATTTCATTTTTCGCATCTTATCATCGCCCGCCCGTCCGTCATAGCCGCATGAACCTGGTGACCTTCCTTCTCTTTCACACAGAGACAGGAGCCCGCCATTCATCCTCGTACTTTTCCGTCGTCGTCAAATCGAATCAATCGCATCATGCCCACCACCAACTGAGCCAGCATACACGTGCAAGCAGAACTTTTTTTGTTGTCGATGCCCCCGCCCGAGAAAGATCCCAGAAGAGTTCTTGAGAAGGTAGACAGCCGAGTCCGAGTCACGAGGACCCGACAGCCATCAGATGAAAAGGGAGCACACCGCAGAACGGAGAACAGGCTCCCGAGAAAAAAACGAGAGCATATTTTGGAGATTGTGTTGAGTGAAGAGAGAAAGAAAAAAGCAGTGAAGATGAAGGCATGTCGAGTTACTTTTATACAATAGGCGCCGGGGGTTGCAAAGGTAAGCAAGGATCCATCAGCAAATCGTCAAACCACCTGTCCAAGCTGTTGCGTTCTCTCTGTCGGGGTATCGATCGTTTTCGTGCTTCTCGGAAATGAAGAAGTCTCGTTCGCTCATTCGCATCAGTCGTCCATCCGCATCTACTGCCTATCGTAAACGTGTAACCACAGCTTAGTTGGGGCATTGAGCCTGGACGTGGCCGGGCTGCTTGCACTTGTAGCAAGTACGCTCGTTGTTGTTCTCGGAGGGGCAGTCTCTTGAGAGATGACCGACCTCGCCACAGTTGTAGCACTTTTGGCCTTGGGTGCAGTCACCTGGAGGCGTTAGCTGGTTGGCAGTGAGAGATTTCCCGGAAGAGACGCGCAAACGTACGAGACATGTGGCCGTAACCACCGCACGAGTAGCAGGTTTGTCCACCTTGAGCTCTGCCGCCGCCACCGTATCCACCTTGTCCACCACCGTATCCGGATTGGCCACCGTAGCCACCACCACCGTAGCCACCAGCCTCAGGGCAGTTGCGAGCAATGTGTCCGATCTTGGAGCACTGGGAGGAATTAGGTCAAGGGTCGCCTCTGGGATTGCCAGACCCTCTTACCTTGTAGCACTCTTGGGATCCACCACCTTGTCCACCGAATCCGCCACGGCCAGCACCATCAGAGGAGGGGTTGGTGCAGTCCCGGGAGATGTGGCCTGGTTGACCGCACTTGTAGCAGGTCTTGTCCTTGGGTCCATCAGGGCACTCGCGGCTCATGTGTCCCTCACCTGCGTTCGCATCAGTCGTCTGATCGAGGCGAGGTACGCACTCTCGACATCACTCACCACCGCAGTTGTAGCTATGCCGCGTTAGCTGATAATCTTTGAACGAGAGGGAGAAGGAGCTTACCACTTAGCTGGGCCACGGGTTGGGCAGTCACGGGCCTGAAAAGATTAGCAAAGGGCAGAGGAAGATATTCCTGGAAGCCGTACTTGGTGAGATGCATCGCCACCTGAGTTGCCATGTTAGCTGGTATCACTGTATGTAGCCTGCGCAATAGAAGTGTGGGTCGAACGGGAGGTCTCCGTCACAGATCGTTTGTGTGTGTGTATGTGCCCACTTTCAAATCCTTCCAATCCCAAGTTTTCTCTCTCTCTTTCTCTCTTTCTCTCTCTCTCTCTCTGACAAACGAGGCCAGCCCGATGGTCGCCGTGTCGTGGTCGGGAGGAATTGAGATCGGAATGAAGGAACGGTCACTCACAGTTGTAGCATCCACGAGGTGGAGGAGCAGCACCGTAGGAATCCATGATTGGCGACTGAAAGATCGAGTTCTGTAGGAGGGGTGAAGAGCTTGTCAGTTTGGGCTTGGTCTCTGATGAAGGTGTGCGTCTTGATTTTGTGTCGAAGTGGTAATGTTCCTTGGAGGGAAATGGAAGTAGAATTGGACTTGTATGATGATGGGGATAGTGGGGTTTGGGTCGGGTCGCAAGGGACGGTGAAGGTGAAGCAGAAACCGAAGCGACGCTACAGCCGAAGTCGCGCAAAGACCTACCTGGGGGGAAGATGGTTCAAAGGAGTTCTGTACGACGGTACAGATGAAGGGGACGGAATGGAATGGAGCGAGGAGGGTTTCGAGGGACCAGCAAAAGAATTGTCGGCGGTGAGGTGAGGTGAGGTGAAAGTGAGGTGAAGGGAGTTGAGGGGAGTTGAGCTGAGCTATGTTGGGGAGTTGATGGAATTGACGGCCTAAGGAAAGAAAGTGCCCGCCGTGCAACTTTTTCCGCTCCCTTCTTGGCAGTCGTGGTGCAGTGTGTAGAGCCAAGATCTAAGCGAGTCTAGCGTGGCGGGCATGGACCCTTAATAATCTAATTAGCAATCAAAGTCGGATCACATGATGTGGACGGGATTTTGTCTGTAATACACGTGACCCGATTCCTTTTGCCGGGCCTGAGTTGATCCGGTCTGAGTTAATCCGAGGGCATAGCACAAAAGGTAGGTACTGAACGGACAGTACAGACAGTACAGTGTAGACCTCAACAGACCTCAACAGACCTCAACAGACCTCAACAGACCTCACCCAGCTTTCTCACCGTTAAATCTCGCCGTCGCCCTCTCTCAATTTGGCGCCAAAACATTTTCTTACCGATCATTTACAACTGGCTGCCTGTGCTGCTTGAATCGTGTAGCGTACAATCAAACCACCGGCCCCAAGAGGCGGTCAGCCAACAACCTGCTGTCCTACCGTCCCCCTATGCTCCATATTGCAAGCCTATCCAGCGATAGACTCTCTGCTCCTCGTTTCTTATTTGTGGGAAGCTAAATTTGTTGCCCCTCTCTCCTCGTGAATCTGTTTACCCTAAGCGTCTATTCTTTTTCAATTTCTTGTCTTAGTATTTCCTTTTCGTCTCGACTCTTGCCACTGCACCCTTACTCATGCCGACTCGCAGGATGTGGTCGGGCAGCCTATGCGGCCTTAAGATTCCAGAGGAACAGCTCACTGGAATTGTGCAGCATCGAAGTGTATTACTGCATAATGAACAAATGCTTCAGACGTGCCAAAATCTGGCGCTGGTTAAGCAGCTTCACCTGTTCTACTCTTGGGGTCAAGTCAGGTCTACGATCATCAAAACCCCGAAAGTACTCGAACCCAAATCCAATGGCATATATTTCCCAAGCTCCGATACTGCCACAAATAGAACTGTGGTTCTTTTTAGCCACTAGTTGGTTGCAAATCACACATCTCGCTAGTCTCACTGTATATACATCATCGTTTCTATTACCTCTACTATATTTCAACAATTATAACCACAGCCACGACCCCTATTGCAACCATAATAACACTTCAGCCACACACCTCCCTATCAGATTGACAGCCCAGATTCATTTTATCTACGACCATCATCATTGGGGCGAAACTCCAATTCATCGTCTCAAATGTAAGCTTTGATGCCCCCTCTCCCCCCTCCCCTCCCCTCCTAAATCTCTTCTCAGCTCTCTCCCCCGATAAGTTCCCCAAGATGTATCAAAGAATGAAGTTGCTGATATGAACCCGGGACAACATCTCTACATCTCTAGCCACCTCCCGCCCATGCACTCTTCCCTCGCGGCCGAGATCCTGCGAACCTCGCTCCGCCTCCGCACCTGTCGGCCTAGCCATAACCATCGCCCTCCACGGCTCCGTGGCCAGAACCTCACACGGCCTCACCCACCCGACGTTTGACTACTCGCGGGTATTCCTGTAAGAGAGCCATTCAGCCCCTCCCCTCTTCAAAGCCACACATGCACATCCTCACAACACGCTACCCATCCCAGTACTATTTCCAGCCCTGCTTCTACGGTAGGATCCCAGAAAAAGAAAACCCTCTCTTCCCCCAATCCCGAGATAAGGCATTAGGCAACTCCCCTCTCACCTGCCCAGGCACGCTCAACTTCGCCTCAATATCAATGTCTTTCATCCACTTCTTCGAAATCGGGCGACAATGCCAAGCCCAAGACCAAGCCCGAGCCCAGGCCCAAGCCCAGGCCCAAGCCTCAGCCCAAGTTCAAGAACGCGACTACATCCCCACCCCCTTTCCCAATCCTAACGACGGCGGCGAAGCAGGTTACGAGCTCTCTAGTCACGCCCATAGCCACCGGCACACCACCGCAAGCAAGAAAAAGACAACGGCGTAAATGGCAGCAGCAGCAAAAGCAGTCTCTAGTCCTCCCTCTCCTCCTCAGCCAGCACGCGCCCCTTGAGCGGATGGTGGGGCAACGTCAGGAATGGGAATCAAGCTCGGAGCTGCAAAGCTTAACCCCGAATTTTGTTAAGGAATTGTCAGCCTGAGTGAGGGTGATGAAAATGGAAGGTACGTTGACTTTAACTAAGAGCTCAAAGCGATCGAGAAGTTGAAAAAGAATAAAGGGAGAGAAAGCAATGATTGCTCCAGAATTGTAATCGAATTCAAGAGTCGTTTTGAGGAATTTTTTTTTTTCCATTTTTTATTACCGACTTGATGACCTGAAGATATGCTACCGACGATGCTCGCATCTATATATTAGGTGATGCCCACATCGGCGTTTACCTCGGCTTTAAACAACGCGTCGAGACAGATATGCTAGCGCTTGAAGTACGGGGAAACAGACTTTGGCAATAATACAACTACCCCGTAATGAAGGATGGGAAACTACCGGCCATCCTAGTGTAGAGTTTTGTCCCAGACTCTTGGATTGCCATGGATTAGCGAGCAAGGATACCTGAACTACAGTATCGCTGGTCCCTTTATGTCAGGCACCCGGAACCCGGACCGGAAGTAACCGAATCCACGTGATCACCATAATCATCGGAACTGAATTGGTCGTCTGATGGTCTCCAAGGGAATGGGATTGAAAGGCCACGAGCGAGCTAGTTCTGATGATCAAAAGTGATGAGAGATCCTACTATTTCGAAATCTCAAGGCTTTGCTGTGGCGGATCCAGTTCATCCGAACTTCGTTATGCGTTCCAAATGACGATGTGCATTGTGGCTCATATCGTGCTGTGCCAAGCTTGTACAAACTGATACTTTGATGCTTCCCTGGCTCCAAGCCTCGTATAGTCCTCCAAGCCTAGGCGACTCAGACTACGGGGTCAGGTCACACTATGAGCCTGAGGGGACGCCAGCTCCGTGTATGTGTATAGACAGACATAGCTGTGGGAGTCTCTTCCTCTCCTTCTTCTACATGTCCCGTTGATCTTTCGGACTTTGGCAGCTTATCCAACTGACCCACGGTCTCATATCAGACCTGTAATAAAACCAGACACGTCGAGTAGATAGAGCCTTTTTGAATAGGGGCGATGGCTTTGCCTCGATTCCGCACAGCTCGTCCTGCCAATTTGTACCCCATCTCGGATTACAGTTGGCGCCATGTCCAGACACGCCGCACGCATGATGAAGCTGGAATTAGAGCCGCGCTCTCCAACCCCCCTCCCACCCTCCTCTCTCTCTCTCTTGCCCTTATGAAGAACAATTACGTGAATACAAGGCTCTTTTACGTAGATGACTTCACCGAAGAGGTTATAAGGCTTCAATGGGAGATTATTATCAAAGACATACGATCGTTGCAAGGAATCTGTTCAAGCCAAGAGGTCTCACACTCTTGAGCCCTACTGCAGTACTATGGTTTGACAACCAAGAGCTTCTAGACCCGTCACGGGATTTTAAAAGAGTATTTTTATCTACGCATAGAGAGGAGGTGTATCTTGGCTCGTAGGATGATGCTGGATGGTTCGGATTGCGGTGGACAGGGCTCGGGGTAGATCAATCATATAGGTAGGTAGGTAGGTAGGTAGGTAGTACTCCGTACGTCACTGAGCTAGCAAAAAGACTTCAACTATACCGTACTTACGACCATACACATTCACGATATCGACCTTATACACACCTAGGCACCTGCCTTAAACTTGCAGCCCCGACTACCCGACCCTGACCCTGACCCTAACCCAGCTCGGAAGCTCGCCCTCGCCCTGAAAAACCTTGAATAGCCAGCGTTTTTGGGGATGCAATTCTGCATTGCATGTACGGTACCGGTACTTCTTTGACTTTCCTCGAAGCCAAGACCGCGACCCGCTGCAACGGTGCACGGCTTTGCGTGCGCTTCAGAACTGCCCGATTGGGTGGGTTAGCCACTCCGCATGGTCCATATCCGCAGCGAATGTGTAAGGCCGACATGGGTAGAACCGGCAACCAGATCACTTGGCCGCGGAAATGCTCTCCGTATTCTTCTCCCTGGGGGCTGAATAGGAAGACGTAAGCGAGAACAACGCCCGTTTGCTAAGAGTACTTGTAATGAGCTCCGAGTCCTGGCTCCGGGCCACTGCCCCTGAGGGGGCAAGGATTTGGAGTTCGAACCTCTCTTGGGGCTAAGGAAAGGAAAGTGTAATGCACATGGCGATCTCGCTAGGTACTTAAGTATGGCCCATCGAGCTGCAATGCAGAGAAACCTTGGCGCAGTATGGGGTAGACGATATGGAGCAGTACCACGTTCTTGTGATACTGAGGTGATCCCGAAGTTCCCTGGGTGGGATAACTAGGATGATGGTAGATTTCCCCGTGTCAACATGTCAACATGTCAACATGGGGATTTGGTGCCGCGATACCATACCATATCACCTGTCCAAGTCCAAGACGTCCTGGTTTCCGATGATGTATAAAGAGCTTGGACGGTGGCAATCAGGAGAAATGACTCGTGGAGAATCTCTCGGACGTTTTCGGAGGATTCACGACAGAGCATCTTATCCAGAAGTCAGAAGTCAGAAGTCTGGGAGTCTGGAGTCTGAAGTCTGAACCATATCGCAAAGGGGGGCCCAGCTTGGCAAGGAATTTCAAGCCAACCAGATACAGTACTACTTACAACCTTCGACGCTGTACGACTAAGCTGGATTCAGAGAGAGCCGGGGCAAAACTAGATCATAAAGGGCATCAAGAGCATATCCTGGAGACCAAGCCAAGTACAGAGTAAGTACGTAGACGTTCGGACTTCTGGAAGACCCGGGTACTCGCTTAGCAGTCTCTCCATCACATGCCCAGGACCAGGATTTTGCATGCACAGACTCTTCATATCCATCTAATCCGCTTGCCGCCACGCTTGGTCTTCCGTATCCATAAAACTCTCATAAGGAGTGAATGATAAATCCATCGGCCACCCTCACCCAGCCGTGAAAGGTGTTTTGTTCGGTGATGTAGCTTCACTGTCGTGTTGGGAAAGCTCTATGTACGATATCAGGATCGGCTACAAACGATAGCATGAATTTTTCTTCCCAAGAAAAAACCCACAGCTCCTTCGACCTGCTGGCAGCCCTCTCCATCGATTTCGAGGACTCCCTGGCCCTCAAAGCGGGCTTTGCCCCCTCCCCTCCACCAGACCAACCACTCCCACCAATTCCACGAAAATCAAAATCACTTTCCCCAGTTGTCCGCAAAGATCAAACTCAGAATCCCACATCGAATCCAGCCCTCGTGAACCACGCATCAAAATCAAGTACTGCGAGTTTAAAGCGTCCCGGGACCATCAGAGGCACACAGCCACCGACCGGCGCAAAGAAAGAGGTCAAGATGGCGCCTCAAGCCATGCCAACACAGGCGCAAACGCAATGCCTGGAGCTGTGCCAGAAGACAACCCACTGCATCGATGTTGTCGCAGTCCACATCCTCGAGTACATGACAGCCCACACGAAGCCGCCAGCATCGTTCGTGCAGCTTTCCCACGACTTCCTCTCGACTTGCGAGATACTGTATTCGCTCGAAGCCGGACTCAGATCATTCAATTCGGCAAATCCCAAATTGCAGCGGCTACCAAAGGAGCTCTTGGCCGAACTTGAGATGAAGTTTCGTGTCACCCAGTCTGACTTCAATTTGATAGATGCTCTGATACAGAAGATGACGCGGAAGAAAGGGATGTCGAAGTGGGGGAGGATGTTTGGAGATATCGAGGGGGACATTTGTAAGGTCGCCACGGCGTTGAAGAGGACGCGGGAGAGCTTGAAGATAAGTAGCATGGTTATTACTTGGAATCAGAATTCCAGCGGCGACCACAGCGTGCCACGACAGGACCGCGGCTTTGGGTACACTGGATTGGCGACGGCGCTGGATCGATCCGCAGTCGAGAAAGGGCAAGTAAAGAAGGACGAAAGCAGACAGAATGAGAGGAGAGAGGAGAGGAGAGAGGAGGAGAGGGAGGAGTTGGAGATGGAGGCGGTGAGATTCCTTTCCATGCTCCCCTTTTCCCACCTCGCTTATCGCTTGGACCCCCTTTTTTGATCCCGTCAGTGTTGTCCCAGACTGCAGAGTAGCCACTGACCTTGATATGCGTTCGTTCATCTAGGCTCCGTCCATTCTTGCTCAACACGCGCTACCAGCGCCATTGCGACTTCAGAAAAACGAGCCTCAGTCTTCTTACCCGCCCATGCCCTCTCTTCCCGGGCCACAACAACAAAGCCAAGCACGCAGCCTGTATAGCGAGACAAGTAACAACCAAACTTTTCACCGGCCCCAAACACAGTCGGACCGCCATACACCATCACAGGCGGGCTGGGTAGGCGTCCGCCGAACCTCATCCAGCGTTCATGATGGCTCTACTGGACGCGTCTCGACAACTCACGATTTGCACCACACTCGTCCACCTATTTCCTACCACTCAGACCCCTCGCACGACAGCGCCTACCTGACGAGCTCCACCCTCTCGAGCGTTGATCCTTTCCTGCAGGACGAAAGACGGAGTATCGCGGATGATGCTCTATCGATGACGAGCCACACGCCGTCAATCTTCCACGATGATATGGCCGGCCTGGAGCTGGACCCAAGCAAGGTTGTGAGATACAGTGTTGATCCCTCAAGCATGCCGAGAGTGTGAGTTTGCATCATGTCCCCTTCGTACCGGCATCTGGCATAGCCGGAGTCATCTCGATTAAGCAGAATCTGATGCCCATGTCCTTTAGATTCCCATCACCTTCATCAGAAGGGGACAACGCCAACATGAAGGAGGCCCTCGTGACTGCGATCCGGGGCAGAAATCATAGGATCGTCGAACAGCTCCTGCACCGCGGCGTCTCTGCAGCCGCCAACCAAAAAAGGCACCCGCTCATCGAAGCCATCTTCGCTCACGACGAGGAGAGCATCCGCCTGCTCTTGCTGGTTGGGGCTGAGGCCAACGAAGCCGGCCGTGACGGCTTGACACCGCTATTGGCTTGCGTCGAGAAGTCCTTCCTCCCCGGTGCAACGATGCTGCTCAAATATGGCGCCAACCCCAACTTGAGTGCCCGCTACGGCGAGAATCAGGAGTCGCCTCTGGCCGTCGCCGTCACGGCTAACATGGCCAACATGACCCAACTTCTCCTCCAATACAACGGTGATGCCAATTCCGTCACCAGCAAAGGCACACCGATACTCACGGCAGCCATCAAACAGAAGACGCATCGGAAGTTCATCGAGCTGCTTCTGGCATACGGGGCGAACCCGAATGCCAAGTCCCGCGAAGGCAAGGTTGCCCTCTTTGAGGCGATTATGTTTGGCCGAGCAGACATCACCTCGGCGCTCCTCGAGGGCGGCGCCGATGCAAACCTGCCTGGGCCAAAACACATGCTCTGGCCTTCCATCCACTACCCAGCCTGTCTTGCTGCCCTGCTCGCACACGGGGCCAACCACCGGCACGCACCGGGTATCATGGAACTGGCTGTCGGTACCAACAATATCGAAGTCGTCCGAACGCTCCTCAGCGCAGGCGTCGACCCCGACACGAAGAAAGACGGTATCTTTACTCCCCTCTGCTCCTCCATCCGGGACGATCGAGATGAGTTGGTCGACTTGCTCTTGAGCAATGGCGCCGATCCCAACATTCCCGCTGCAGAGTATCCCACGTTCACATGCGTGACGCAAAACAGGGTGCACTTCCTGCCGGCTTTGCTTGCGGCAGGTGCTGACCTCAACAAGCCCAAGGGTATTCTAGAGCTGGCGGTCAGCTTCAATAACCTCGATGCGATTAACTGGTTGCTCGACAACGGTGTAAGTCCAAACGACCGGAATGCGAAGGGGAAGTCACCCCTCACAACCGCTATCCGGGAGAACCGAATGGAGCTTGTAGAGATACTCCTACAGAGAGGAGCGGATCCCCATGCTCGTGGTGAAGGTGAGCTGCCCCCCCCAGATACCCATCTCATGAACATCTCGTGAAACTAATCGCCTGTAGACTGGCCCATATTCATGGCGGTCAACAACCCCCCCATTCTCAAATTGCTCTTGACCGTGATCAAAGAGCCACGGGCCTTCAAGGGGATCGTGGAGAGAGCGGTCCACGCCGACCAGCTCGAGTCCATCCAGCTTCTCCTGGCCGCGGGCGTCTCCGTCGAGGACAAGACCGGAGGCGTCTTCTCCCCACTCACGACGGCCATCCGCGAGAAGCACATGGAGATCGTCACCTACCTCATCGGCCCGGCCGGTGCCGATGTCAACGCGCCCGGCGAGCACCTGCCCGTCGTCAAGGCGCTCCGCACCTTCCGGGACGGCAACACGACGGTCCTGGAGTGGTTGCTGGAGAAGGGCGCCGATCCCAACAAGATTTACCGGAGCTGGAACGGGGTTATGCAGGCAGTGGAGAATGGTAATGAGGGCGTGTTGAGGTTACTGGCGAGGACCTGCGGTATCGACCTGGAGGCGAAAGATGATATGGGTAATACGGTACTCGATATGGCGTCTTCGAGGGGGTGGGAAGAGGCGGTGCAGATATTGACCGAGGGTGATCTGAAGGGGGCTCGGAAGAAATGAGGATATACGCGAAAGTAAGTGGTGAGCGACGAGACTGTCCTCGTCCCTAATGGCCGTTGTTCAGGACAGGTCAGGGACATGCTGGATGGATGACTTGGACGTTGGCGTTGGCTTTGGCGTTTTCGTTATGGCTGATTTGCTCTGATGCCTTTGCCTTTGCAATGTGCCTACCTATGTATCGTAATCGAAGCTCTTTTTGCTTCTGTACAACATAGAGCAGAGGGAGTTACAGGGAATATAACTCAGTCGTTTCTGCGGAGTAGTGAAAGCTTGGCAAAGCAGAATTGTAAAGGGAACATAATACCTTCGAATGGCTCTCCGGGCACATACGACCACAGACTGAGAAGAATTGGGCATCCCGTCCGCTCTGCCATACACAAGCCTCAGATCGGCAGATTAGTAGTTGGGTGGGTGACCACCAGCGAATACCTGCTGTTGTATGTTCTTTTGCTTTTGGCCTCTCCTAGAGATCTAGCAAAACTTGCAGACTGAAATGGCAGATTCTTGCTTTCTTTGGAATATCTGACAATTGCTACGTCTTGCTGCCGACACCAGCAAGCTTGGGGATGGAATATAGCGAGATGTAGTCCTGGCAAGGCTTAGTATACAAAGTTGGTGCATCGCCTGGAAACAGGATACTGAAGGCTGCCGGATTTCGGAAGTTGCAGAGGCATGCTGGAAGTAGCGCAGCGAGGTCTTCGATGAACAGCTGACGGTGTGCAGATAGATGTCTCTGCACGCATAAACCTATTACCTCTCTCGACCTCTTGGACCGCGGCACAGTATTGACGGTGCGGTATTTCAAATAAGCGCTTTGCAGCCCGATGACAGGGATTTTGGGGTTCACCTCTTGAAATCTCTGTATGTGTGATTCGAAGGGAACGAATCGATGCGCTCCGACAGAAGCCTTTGTTGACCAAGCGCAAGACCGAGAGCCGCTTGTCTCCCTTGTCTATCAATCATATGTTCGGGATAGCCATGCATCTTCTGGCCCATCGTACAGTAGAAGCTGGGATCCTGCACGTGACGAGTTTATCTTCGTATACCGGTAGGTATATCTTGCGTCAGCGAGCACGGATGAAGACGTGGATAGCAAGCGCAAGAGACTGCATACCCCGTCACAGATCTCCGTAGACAGCTTTGGCATGTTTGGGTTGGTGATGTTGTTGTCGGAGACATTCATGCTGCTTTCCTACTACTTTACTTGATGGTTTGGGAGGACGTCGGTTGCAAGAGGTGGATTTTTTTACAAGGTGTGGGGAAGCTGCGGAGTAGGATCCGATAACGGTGGTGCACCCACCTAGCGTACGGTAAGTAGACTTCTGCCTAGACCTAGGTAGGTATGACATGACACTACCTACTGTAGAGCGAGGGCTTCTCGGTGCTACGTACAAGTGACTAGAGATATAGAGATACATCCCGCGATCAGCGTGTCGCACGGAATACGTTACCAAACATCGCAATATGTCTCTGCTTGTATTCTGAAAAGATCTGCGGCCTACGGACTTGAACGACAGGAAGGCACAAGGGATATAAGCGTCGCCTAGTATTCGTTAGACAGTTAAGAAACATACATGTATGTACCGGTACTCCTACTCCTTTATAAAAACCAAACGACGATTCGGCACCCATGTTCTCCTCTCCTGTCTTCTTGCACAGGGACAGATATACTCCGTCTAATCAAGCGCGGAAGCACGAATTTACTTAGTGAACGGTTCACATTCTCAGCCGTTCAGTTTTGCTGTCAACCGCATTTTCGCCATCATCTTTTCATCGCGATGCGTTTCAAGAGCATAGCACAATACTAAATCCTGTCGTTCCGGAGGCCGTATATACAGTCGTGAAATCCCAAGTATCGAGGCTTATTCTCATCGGTTTCGGCATACTTTTGTACATTCTTAAATCCATACAACCTTATCGCAAGTCGAGTTCTAAAAAGGTTTGGCTTTTCTTTTCTGGTTGTAGCGTAGCGATGGGTTACCGCGTGGCTTCTTCATACGTATGTAGTGGATTGTATTGCACAAGAAGGGGAATCTTGATTCGATTACAATATGCGCGAGCGAGCCGCTTTAGGGATTCTCATCCGATGGGAGTCTGAAGAATACGGAAGTCCGGCATTTCGAACGCGCAGAACTGGTCCGAGGGGGATCTGGCTTGCTTCCAGAGGTGTAACAGACAAGCGTTTGCATCTACAGCTGCGGGAGGGTAAGGGGCAGCAGCTCTTTCTGGAGCAGATGAAGGCGGTAGAGCTGCGGAGTGAGACACGTTGCAGCTTCGATTCCTGACGAAGGATACCCGTCGGAGAGGTCTCACATGTATGTGAAGAGTATACCTCTGATGGGAGGCGGGGATCTGTTTGCTGTCACGAGATATGACATGCCCTTCTTATCACCGGGTTTTGTGCGTCTGAGCATCGCGCCCTGCTTCATCTACCTCTGCGATAGGTAATTGCTGTCAATGCGATCATCGCTGTCATTTTTTTTTATTGTGATACAAGTAAATATCCAAGCATGATAGCATACGAGTCTCTCATCCGATAAGATAAGACGACTCAAGCGAGCGAGCGAGCGCTCCAAATCCACATCTCACCGAATTCCGCCGCGTCCTTCGAAGCGATTGTCAAGATCCGAGCCTGCTCATAGAAAATACCAAGCAGTGAGCACCAGATCCAAAACCACGTCCGGAGCTCAATTTTGCTCTGATCTATGGTAAGAGCAATGGAGCGCATCTCGAGAGAGGGAACGAGGGGGTTTTATCTGATCTGAAGCACCCCAGCTGTCAGCTGAGCTCGGTACCTTCCGCATTAGGGTAGCAAGCGGAAGCAGTTTCTCACTTGGTACCTACTGGCCGGTGCACCTTTACCGGATGGAATTGTAAGTAGTTGTTGTTGTCTATTCATTCACTTTGATATCTGGTCGGATAACGGTTAATCCAATCCAATACCCCCCTGATCGCACCTGCTCCGTTGTCATCTAAGTACTACTCATAAATAAGAAGAAAGTATTCTCGAGCCGACAGGTACATCTCTTGCAAACCAAGACCACAAAGAAGACACTGGACAGCTGGAGCAGAATATCCCGAAAAGAAAATTACAAATAGCCAATCCTAATCAACGACGACCGCAACGACGTCAAGCAGCAGTAATCTACCCTGACAATCTCAACCGCACATCAAACCTCCCGTCACCAAAACCCGGTACCTCGTGTCGAATCCCCTTTTCCGCGATCGATCCCGCACGCCCGCCGCTGCCGATTTTTCATCCCATTGCCACTTCCCTCCTTATTGTCACTCATCACCAGCCAATCCTCTAAGCAGAAAGAGGAACCCCTCTCTCTCTACTCACGAACGGACGTGGTGTGGTGTGCTCTTTTCGGTCGCGCTTTCCAACTTTCTAATGAATGACCGCTGGCAGACGAGCAGGTTGTGCTGTATAGCGTAGGAAGCCTACCGCGCCGGGGAGAGGGAGGAGAGGTGGCGGCGTAACAGTTGACAGTTCTGACTGGATTTGGGTCATCTAAGTTTCCCCCCAAAAAAAAAGAAAAAGAAAAAGAAAAAAAAGGAAAAACAAAATTATCCCAACGGCAGAGAACTATGCATCAATAGGATCTGATAATAGTATTTTATATAAGTAGGTGTCTGGGTAATAAATACCCATATTTTCCAATTTCCAACCCCGTCGTCGTATATACGAGTAGCAAGCAAGACCCCCCTATATCTATCTAAAATACAAGGGGAAAAAAGCAGAGAGGGGAGCTTCCCTTCCTTTTCCATTCCATCCATTCTTCCGTCTCCGTCCTCCGCCTCCCAATCCCGAGAAGAAGAAAAAAAAAACGTGGGCAGATAAAAATGAGTCGCTAAAAGTAAAGAAGCCAAACAAAAAAGCGAGCCCAAACGCCAGCGCTGATCCCAGAACTCCCCATGTTAAAGCAAAACGGGAGAAGCGATGTCGTTGATATGCGGAAAGGAAAGAAAACAAGTCGCGTATCCACTCTTAGAGATCTTCATAGATCAGACCAAATAATCACCCGCTGCCGATGGGCCCCTCACCGCACTTCACGACCCGACCCCGTCCATCATGGCATGGCTAGTGAGCAGCAACCTCTACCTCATCGTCGATGTGAATCTTGAATCCCCCCTTCGCGGCCCCAACCCCCTGATCAAAGGCAGAATCGGGCTGTCGGATAGGGTACTCACTCGGCATACTACTCGCTTCACTCCCCCCATCCTCATCCCGCTCTCTTGCACTTCTCCCAAAACTGCCACCTCCAAAGACCGGTCCCGTCCCCGACTTTCCGAAGCCCGCACTAGCCTCGTAATCAACTTCATCCTGCACGCCCTCCCACTCCTCATCAACCAGTCTGCCGTGCACGTAATACGCATCCTCGTCTTGCCCGAAATCGCTGAGCGCGTGAGCTTCGTAGCCAGGTTCTTCGTCGCCGACGTGGTCGTTGTCAGCGTAGACTTCGTCTGTGGTACTGCCGTAATGATTATCGTCATCGACACCGAGTCCGTCTTGACTGCCGTCTTCGTATATTCCGATGCTGCTTTTACCACCACGCTCAGTGTACGGGGCGTTGCTGAACGGCGTCGCGTACGCGAAGGGCGTCATGCCTTCCTCTTTCTCGCGATCGTGCTTAGCGTCGTCGAACAAGGCGTGCGGACTTGACGGGCCTGTGCTGTACTTGGGAGTATCTCTTGGTCTGGACGGGGAGCGGGAGCGAGAATGGGAGATGCGGCGGCGTTTAGCGAGCGTGATGTTCGCGCCTGTGGACGTGGAAGGGACACGGGACGGGGAAGACTGGGATTCGCAGTCGAGGGATGTGATGCGGCGTTTACAGTTGCCGTGCTGGGAGTTCGAGAATTTGGTGGGGACCATGGTTGGCATGGAAGTCGTGCGGATGGGAACCGGCCGGAAAGGCTGGCGCTCTCTGAGTGAAGACAGTGGCACTGCATGCTGGGCGGCTGCAACCGAAGTTGGAGTTGTAGAAGCATCGGGCGAAACGGCTGCTGATGAGAGACAATCAGAGAGCGACGGTTGTTCAAACTGAGCGTCTTGGTGAGGAGGCGAGCAGATGCTCAGCGAGGAAATGCATGATGTGAATGTTGAATGTACGCTTTCGTGTGCCGGATCAAGACGCTCATCAAATTCCCAGCAGGGCTCTTCAGCGTCGCGCTCGGGAGTATAGTTCAGACTTGTGGAAACGTCTGGATAGACACGCGGAAGCATGCGAAGCTTTTGCCATGTCCAGTCTACGCTTTGGTTGCCGAGTTGTTGGACGTAACTGTCTCTTTGCGTAACATAGAGACGACGGATCCCTTTGTGCCTCATGGCGACGCTGGAAGATAGGAATGAGAAAGTCCAGAGGGCTGGTGTGACCATCTCCGAAGGAGTGAGGTAGCGTAGACATGAATCCCTGTGAATCTTGCGCAGAGGAATCCACGGAGCCGATAACCCCAGGAAGTTTCTCAAAGATCTGGGAACAGAGCCTACGTTTTCGTCGAGTTGGGTGTAAGGGTCCTCGGCGAGAACATTGGGAAGTTCACCAAAGGCATTCATGATTGCAACCTGGACGTCTCTGGCATCGGGTCCGAGGATGCGAACCACTCTGACCAGTCCTCTGCTTCTGAGACGCTCATCTACCCTGCTATGGGAGGCACAGGCTTTAGCCATCAACCATTGTGAGTCCTGGTCCGAAAGATCCGGAGCGGAATGCTGCCACGCGGCAGCCTGGTCATGGGTAGCAAAGCACGTTTGAGCAGCAGCCATAGAGTGGTTCTGCGTCTGGGTCCAATCATCCGTAGCCATACTGTTCACCCGTGATCGCTGACTCATATTCTGCTGTGAGGACCAGATGCCCATCAGTTGAGGTCCAAAAGGCAGGAAGACAACTTCAATCTCCCAAGGGCGTGACGGGGATGGGAGAGCGGCAGCTTGAAGCTCGGCTATCTGAGATTCCAGAGACTGAAGACGAGCAGCATCGAGACGACCCATGGCTGAAGCAATCATGGCCGAGGAAGTGACTGACATCCTCGAGTCGAATGACTCAATATGTTTACTGCTGACACTGCTGGCATCGTTGATAGCAGCCTGCACCTTTTCAATCTCACGGACTCTCTCTTCGACCTCGCAAACCCTGTTGTCCAGACGATCGTCCGCGTCCTGGAGATCCCCAACAGCAGGATCATGGAATGTCGCGTTCTCAAGCGAATCTAGTCTCTGTTCGTGATTAGTTATTCTGATTGGATACTCGGACAGATTGTGGACCAGGTGTCGAAGTCTCGGCAGGAGCGTAGCTTCCGTTTCCCCTTCATGCGGCATAAGCGAGATCTGTCCTGAAAGAGGTTCCGACGGGTTTATATTCATTTGGGACCGATCATCTGTCTTCGTAGCAGCAGGCTCTGCAGACACTTGAGCATCGCCATGCGGGAATTTCTCAAGAGCATCCTCGACGCGGTTGAGATGATAACTCAACTGGGCCGCAACAGCTGGATCTTGAGAAGCACGCGCACTGGGCGTTGCTACCTCAGTGAGGCTCTGCATGAACGCATTGCCGTCGGCATCCTCGTAAATCTGCATTCTCCTGTCGCTTTGTGGCTGTTGACCTGTGGCAATCCCGGATTGGATCGTGGGCATTGGATTGAATGCTTGACCTAGGCCAGATGGACGGATAGAGGCGCCAACACTGCCAGATGTTGCAGAGCCAGTGTCCGACGGAAGCAGGCATTGAGATGGAATAGCAGGCAGGCTATGAACAGACCCCGAGTGCAGATAACGGCCCCATTGCTGCGTATCCGGTATGGAGTCCCGCCTTACCTCTGGATTTGGACCTTGGTTCTGCCCTGGGGATTGTCGGAGAGAGGCATTGGCATCTCGGAAAGTCAACGTGGCATTCGCCACTGTCGCATCTGCAGAGGCTCCGACCTGGCTCTGCTGTGGACCATCATCATGAAAACAAGCGTGATGTTCACACATACAAAATCCCGATCTGGCCGTTGACCTATCCTGTGGGCTTGCCAGCGCTTTATCCCAGAAGCGTCGACATCCACACACGGGAGCAGTCCCTCCCACGCTTAGGTTCGTGTAGTTGCACCTCCCACTCGGAAGCTTCATCTCGGTCGGACCCTCATCGCGAGTAAACATATTCCCCAGCTCCGTCCTGATTCCCGTGAGGGAAGCCATGGGCAAAGCTCAGGAGCAAGAGGGTGAGCCAGGCCGAGATTCAGAGGGGAGACGCCTCGTATAGATAGCCGAGTCGCATTGACGGGAGGGGGTTTCGTAGACCGGCGGCTATCGAAGTCTCCCTCGCTTTTGAGCGCCGAGGGTCGTGTTTACAGCGGGGAAATGGCGTCCTTATATACACTCCCGGCAGCCCGCAACGCGTATTCGGCAACTACCAGGCGGACGACGCGTCGCTATCGATTTATATGGTGTGCATCGCAAATCTGAGGCTGTCGTCGCGCATTAGCATCCAGTGATCACATCTCGCGCGCGTCCTCAATCAAGCCTCACGCACCTCATCCCTCTCTGCGACCAATGCACGGAACAGCAAGCGACGCCAGAAATCGTGAGTTCGTGAGTTCGTGAGTTCGTAAGTCGTAGTAGGTGAGGGTGATAGTCCACAGAGCACAGATGGATCGGCAATTGATATGAGATGGAGGTGAAAATGAGATTGAGATTGAAGCAGGCAGCAAAGTATCCGCGACAAGCCCTTGGGATGGTTGCAAGCCCGACCCTCGAGCTCGCGTCGTACAGATGCATGTCAGGTGGGATGGTGACTAATGGAGCCAAGAGAGCCCAGCCAGGAACTGAGTCCGGTTTGCTAGGATCATTCTGTTTGCTAAGTGCTGCAGTACGGAGAGGGGCGGAATAAGCCTCAGATCAGCCTATCTTATCGCATCGCCTTACGGAGCTACCAGCCCGCTCAAGACGGCTCGGGTCGTCTTCCCGTACCTAGTAACATTATTAGCCGAAAGGAGAATACCTATCAGCAACATCTCGTATTTCCTTATAAAAACAACTTCTTTAATTGAATTGTTCAAGGTCAAACCATACAAATCTTTCATAGTGTTTTTTTTCCAAAGCTAACGTCACGTCATAGGTCAGATAGATAGGCAGGGTCACTGATCACGAATGAGCTACGTAGTGGTGTTGGTTCCGGCCCTCGATCATGGGAAAGGGGGAGAAGGGTTCGCGCGGTTTTGCAATCGAGCGGTTAAATGATGGCAGGAGAAACTTTCTATTTTCGAGTTAGGTAACCAGTGGCTAGTTCATAATTAATTACGTGAAATGAGATCAAGTTAAGCGAGTTACAAAGGAAGCGAATATCAACAATCTGCAAACGCTATATACGCAAGACCGTCATTGTTGATCACAAAGGCTTTCGATCACGGCGAAGATAACAGCTTGTCTCAACTCTAGTAGGGCAGATATGATCCTGGTCATAGTAAAGATATATATTTGGTAAAGACCAATTCGTTTCTCTCAATATAAAGTCTTGGGCACGTTCAATCATAGAAGCTGCACCATCAAGGTTTTACCACAGAATTTTGAAAAAGGAGAGGAAGAAGAAGAAGCGTCCCGATTTGCGAGGGTTTCCTCCCTTCAGGGTATCAAGGCATGCAATACACATCTGTTATTCCGCTTGATCCAATTCCAAGGCTTGGAATTCTCATCTAAGCGTGCGTCTTGTTTCCGCCGTACGTCTTCGAGCCGTCGCGGTCGCTATCGACTCGCTGATAATGTGTTAGTTGAGTTTCAAGACTTTGAATTATTGAGGATGGCTGTAAGCACGTACTGGATCGACTTTGTTCAGCAAATCGCTGTTGTGGGGTCTGATGAAGATGATGTTAGCATTTTTCTAGAACCCAGGCCGAGTGAAGAAGGTCATGGGCGGGAAGTGCCTCGCTTAAGCTATCACGTTTCAAGATCGCTCAATACATCTCCTGGAATCAATAGAGCCAGTGGGGGGAGATAGAAAGGGAGCTTACCCGGCAGTGTTCTGAGCAGTGCCTGAGCCGGGTGTGGCGTGGCTTCCGCTCGCACCCATGAGACCCCCGGTGGCGGCTCCGTGACGGTTGCCACGACCATCTAGATCACTGTCGACGCGAGGATCGGCCCTGAGATCCAGTTAGCTAGGTTTTACACGCAGCCAGAGAATTTAAGGCATCGCTGTAATGCAATTTTCAAGTCAAAATACTGCTCGATCGTAGCGAGGCTGCTCGGAGGGGACAGCTCTCGAGACAGACAGCATTTCGGAAGCATGGGATGCTTACTTATTTGCCATATTTGAGTTGTGGGGACCTGTGAAAAGAAGATGGTTAGCATCAATTACGTCCAGCTCGAAGTAGAAGAGGGTACGAAGCAGGCGGACTCTCGATCGCTCGGCGACTTCAAGGAAGACAGACAACATACCAGCGTTCGTCGAGTGAGAAATGCCTCCGGTTGTGCCAGTGTGGGTTCCGGCTGTGTTGCCCACATGGGTGCCGCTGTAACCGGATGTTGTCGTGGTGCTATCAACTCTCGGATCAAGCCTATAAGACACAAGTCAGATAGTTGTACAGTCGAGTGAAGCAATTGACAGGACAGCATGACGCCTCGACAGCGATCTCTTCGAGCTTATCGTTCTCCGAGAATCCCGTTTGAGAGCCTTCCAAAGCCAACGATGCAAGAAGTTGAGAGTCACCTACTTGTTCGCCAAGTTGTTTGAGTGCGGAGCAGTGTATCCATGGGAGCCCGCAACTCCACTCCCTACACCGCCAACCCCAGCGCCGGTGTGACGGGACGAGTCCAAGTCGGAATCAACTGCATCTCGGATTAGCCAAAGTCCTTCAAAAACTGATATCAAGGTCGAGGTCATGAGGGAGTGGTGAGTAAAAGTGAATCGTACTCCTTGGATCGGCCGCGTTGGCAACCCGGCTGCTATGCGGTCCAGCAGTGCCCTCTGGGATTCCGCTTCCGGCATGGCCAACGCCGGGACCGCTGCCGATACCCGTGTGTCCGACCCCGGTGTTGTATCCCGTCCCGGTGGTCGTCCCGCTGCCCAGGCCCGAGTGAGTGGTGCCGGTGGTATGGGTGGTGCCGGTGGTGTGGGTGGTGGAGGTAGCGGGCTTGTCGTGGTGGAGAGCCTCCTTGACCTTGTTGAGGATTCCAGACATGATGAAGGGTTGGGGTGGGGTGTTGTTGTTGTTGTTGTTGTTGTTGTTGTTGTTGTTGTTGTTGTTGTTGTTGTTGTTGTTGATGTTGATGTTCGGTCTGGAAATTTGAAATATGGTGTGGTATATTCGAGTAAGGCGAAGTGGTGGTACTTCCCACAGCATAACGTCTCTCCTATACCTTTTATATATATACCGTGATCCTCCTCCCTCCCTCCCTTCCCTCCCAGTCCCTCTCCCTAGCACCATCCTCAAAAACCTGATTTCCTCCTCCTGAACCACCGATCCACACGTGATCCCCGACGTAATCCCCATCCTCCCATCAGTTCCCGGTCCGGTACAGTACCCAAGCCCAAGCATGCAACGGCCCACTCGCTGCCCAGTTTTTCGTGCGGCAGCCAAGCCCAGCGTCACCGTCTGTGGCTGGAACGTCATCCCAAGTCCCGGCGAGACAGGGGGGCTGTGAGATTGACCAATCGACTGCTCGGGAGACCCTTGGTCTTGGTTGGTTTTCGTTACTTACGCGAGCAGTGGCGGTGCGGGGTAAGGGACGTACCTGCCGTTGCTGCATGGGAAAACGTTCCAAGTATCCAAGTATCCAAGTATCCAGATATCCAACTATCCAGGAAAGAGACGACCGCCTCAGCCTCTCTTTTCCCTTCCTCCTGCTCCTCCTCGGCTGCAAGACCCGGGCCCGCTTCTCCCGAGATATGACAGCATACCACCGAAAAACAAGGCCTTGGCGATCATCAGAATCCGGCTTGAAAGATGGACACACACAGTCACATGCTGGATGGCAAGAGAACCACGTGTCGGCATATCTCAGGTCTCAGGCAGCACGAGCACGGAAATCCTCTTGACCTTCGCTCGCCATCACCGACCCATCCGATAGGGAGAGGGATGTGCATGTAAAGCTCCCGGTTTGGTGTTGACGGGAAGATGATTGTCGTGGACGTCGCTCCAACGTCTAGAGCATTTGTAAAACATGTTGAAGAGGTATGAGTTGTCGTATGAGGATATACTTATTTATACCTCTTTGTCTTCTCTCTCCTTCGTTTAGCTCCTCTATGTATCAGTCAGTTACTAAACGTCAAGTTCAAGTGGATCTGAAGAGCTCATCTCATCGACTCAATACCCGGGTCATGGCGGGGTAATAATTACCCCTCCGTTACTCCCCTTCTCATACTGGTAGGTAAACAAACGGCCACACCATAAAGCCGAATAAATATTCATTGCATACATTGATCATCGAGTAGTCTTCCAAAACAGTCGCTACAAAGTATCTCGCCAGTAACGGAATTTTCTGTCCTATCCTGTTTTAGCATATTCTTTTCCGAACAATATATATATATATATATATATATATATATACATATTACCCCCATGTCCCGTACCAACACGTTAACGTACCAGAACACATCGTGCAAGACTCGCACGTACTGAGCAGTGTGCACTGCCACAGATGCTCCTTCGAATAATGACGGTACCCCAGCGAGCTCTCGGCATGACTGGCTCACCTGATGCAGGCTGTGGTGCGTGAGCCGCACCGTCTCGCTGCCGGGCCCTGGCAGGTACGCTGCGAAGTGGCGCTTCCCGAACGTGATGGCCTGACCCTAGATGCCGAGACAGACGGCGATGCCGGCTTCGATTGGCGGCTTGGTGATGGCATTGCGGGCTGGGAAGAGGTGGGGCTCATCGACCGGGCCGCGGTGGAGGCGAGGGCTGCTGCGGAGGGCCTGATGGTATATATCTTGAGAAGGTTAGTAGGGGGAGGAGGGTGGAAAAGACACTGGGGGGCTAACCTACAATGTCCTGTCTCTTCGGGTCTGGAGTGAATGCTTCGTATAGTGGAGCAGCAGAGGAGCATTGCAGGCTAGCTATCATTTTGCTTGCTGGGCCTGTGAAGATGGAAACCAGAGTGGAGTGGAGCTTGGATACAACATCCCAATCATCCCAATTAGGCAACTGTCGAGACGAATGTCAACGATAGGGAGGGCCGGGAGATATTCTGGATCAAAAGTCCATTGCATTGTTGCTTTTTGCTTTCGAAAATGAAGAGGCGTTGTCCTCCCTGTGACATCGTAAGCTTTCCGTCATCCCTCATAATTCTTCAATCATCCAATCGCTTGATCGTCATTTCATGCTTCAACCCTCAATATCCACCCGTTGTCTTCTCTCTCATTCTTTCCATTCAAGCCCCCCCAAAGGACAACGCTACTAGCGTCCAGATCACCCATCGTCGAGCTGGCAAACCAGCCTCTCTCAGATGGTACCAATCTATGGATGTCCTCTCCTTCAACCCCCTCAGCATCGGCAATCTGCATCTGACTCCATTGACCTTCTCCAGTCTCCTTTCCAAGAGACTGCCATGTTGCATCCTTGAAAGAAGCTCCTGTCATGCCCAGAGGCGGACATTGGAAGACCCACACGTCACCCCAGAACTTCCCGGCGCCCTCGTGTCCCTGACTGCTAGGGTCCCTCTCCCCGAGTAGCAACACCAAGTACTCTCTACCCATCCCAGTGGTGATAGATTGAAACCCAGCTACACTTCTGTTACCCGGGCACTTCATGCCCTCTTCGGTGAAATCCAAAGTCTGCCAAGTGCCCTTTGGAACGACCGCAGCTTCCGTAGACGGGCCAGTACCGCTGAAAGTATCCAGACTCAGCTCGAGGATATCAACTTGGCCCCCCTCCTCGCCGGTACCGTTGAATCCTCCGTATCTGTAGATTCGCTGCTTCGAAATTGCGATGGACGTACCACCTCTCGGCTTTCCAGGCGCAGCAGGGAACTCCTTCCACGTCTTGCTCCTCACATCGAATCCCCAGAGATCATTGGTTCTACCACTATTCGGGCATCCAGCATGCACAAAGAAGGTGCCATATCCTCCCTTCTCCGCGTCCGTTTGTGCCGCCTCCGCGATAGTACCAGCCTTCGGGAGCTCCGTTGCGTTGTCAATCTCGACACTCTTTGTGTTTCCTGCTTCTGGCTTCTCGATCGCAACACTCGAGTGGTATGACCTCGCCTCGGGGAATGGCGTGCCGGGCACGGGGTCCAGGAAAGACCAGGCATCCGTCCTCGTATCATACACCCAGACCCTGCCCTTCTCCTCCAAAGGCTTCATCTCCTTGCCTCCTCTACCACCCCAAACGAAAATCCGCTCCCCAATAACCGCAGCCGTATGTCCCACTCTCTTCTGTGGCACTTCGCCGCCGGCCATTTCGGCCTTAGCGGGTACGGATCTGTAGTCGGCAGACGACAGGGCATCGTAGGGGAGCGTGATGATGTGCATATCATTGTCGACTGGCTCCCGGGGACTGACCTCACCGCCGAAGACGTATGCACGGCCGGCGATGACTGACAGAGTATGGGATGAGCGGGGCAGCGGGGTACTGTTGATACGTTCCCATTTTGCTTTGACGGGGTGTGTTGACTTGAACATGCCATGGAGAGCAGTTGCAGCGGTTGCGGCTACTTCCATCATCTTGCTCGAGTTCGATGGTGTTGTTGAAGGTGTTTTTGGAAGTGTTGTGTAGAAGAAGAGGAAGAGGAAGATGACTGACCAGCTTGATGACGAGCGGAGTCTCCACTATGGTCGTCGATAAAGCCTTATCGAGCAAGCGAGAATTAGCCGAAGAAACAGGGGTAGCGAGGCTGAGCTGACGAAGACTTTGGAGTCGAGGCTGACAACGACAACCAAGACCTCACTCCGTACACATCTAAGACTATGCATGCATTTCACACAGTCTCGAAATGCTGTCGCGATCTCTTCCCGAAAACTCATTGAGAGCTCTGAGTAGAAAGCCTTTCAAGGTCCTGCCGCGAGCATTTGCAACCCCACTTCCTCATTCCTTAACATTCATCCGGCAGAGGTACGAGTCCGGATTCCGACGGTTTCCTCCACCATCTCCTCGACGAAAGCCTCCACATAAAATTCATTACCGATACGACGAGGAGGAGGCGCGGAAATCAGAGCCCCCATTTACACCCGAGCAACTCCGCCGCGCTTTTCGAAGCCCCGCAACACGATGGATGGCCATAATGGCCGTTGGAGGCGGCACAATCTTCTACTTTTCAAACCTTGAAACGGTGCCTGCGACTGGCAGAAGGCGCTTCAACTGCTCTATCGATGCGATGGCTGAGGTAGCAGGAGCGCTGTCTTACAAGGTAATCATGCTGCTGAATAGCCATGCGATATTGCCAGCTTGGGATAAGAGGACGGAGCTGGTGAATAAGGTCATGACGAAGTTGATTACTGCTAGTGGCTTGAAGCACGAGGATTGGGAAGTGCATGTCATAGAATCCGATAGTGTGTTCACCTCGACTGTTTGATTCGATATTTACTCACGAGTAACAGAAGCGAATGCCTTTATAGTGCCCGGAGGCAAAGTCTTCGTCTACAGTGGCTTGCTCCCCGTTGCGAAAACCGAAGACGGACTAGCTACAGTCCTCAGCCACGAAATGGCACATGACCTCGCCCGGCACGGCAAGGAACGATTGAGCAGCGCCATTTTGATCCAGGACCCACTGCGCTTCGCAATTTCTTTTCTGGATTATTGGGATTTGAACATGGGGCTCGGCCTCATGCTTGCGGATCTCATGCTGGATTTGGGTGTCATGCAACCAGCTTCCAGAAAGCAGGAGAGCGAGGCGGACTATATTGGGTTGATGCTTATGGCGCATAGCTGCTATGACCCTAAGGAGGCAATCAAATTCTGGAAACGCCTGGAAGCTTTTTCAAAAGATCGGCTCCCCGAGTGGCTGTCGACGCATCCTTCTGTAGGTGTTTTCCCTCTCCTTAAATTCAGAGAATTTGCTGATTTGAAACAGCATTCCAGTCGCATCGCTCAAATTACGGCATGGCTTCCGAAGGCCGAGGAGGTACGAAGGAAAAGTGATTGTGCTTCCACAGTCGGTCATTCCGAAGACTTCAAGAATGCTTTCAAAGGTTCAAATTGGGTGGCCATATTTAAAGATTAATATCTGTATTGGTGATGAGACCACCCGAGTTGGTCGCATATGGAATTTGAACTACTGTTTGACAGGCGTGGAGAATTGCTCAAGGAAAGGAGTTCTAGATACCACTCAATAATAAGGAAGACGATATTTGGTCTGCGATTTTTCTCATTCCATATATAGATATCACCTTGGCCTTTGAACACATTAGAAGCACTAGCAGAGCTATAGTCACGATGTCTTGATTTGCGTTCTTTTTCTGCCTTTCTAACAAGTTTGTTTCTGTTGAATGCGCATTTTTTGCATAATCTAGCATGAAACTTAGGCTTTAACAGACAGGTCGGAATTGGCTTCAGCTAAAGAGAAAATACATTCTCCTAATGACTGGACTCTTTTGGCATTTGCAAAATAGATAGGGCGGGTTAATACGAAAACTGGTACTAGTACTACCTTGTATTACACAAAGAAGGGAGGACACTTTTGGATATTCCCATGAGCCACTCCTCGGTCTTTGCTCCGGCTAACCTTAGGAGAGATGATCAATCTAAATTGTGACACCCAGTTGGGAAGTTCTTAGAGTCGTTTAGTGTTTTCTAGTCTATCTTTGCCAGCCCTGCTTTCACCTCTCGATGATTTGTAACTTAAGCTACCTACCTGGTGATATTCTACATACTGAAGTTTACGCCGCTAGCTTTTACCTTTGCGGGCTTGTTTCAAAAATTAGTAAGAATTTCCAATTTGCTGATCTATTATCTTGCTGTCTATTCACTTATGCCCGCTCGAATATTCAAGCAGCAGCTAGAAAGTAACACTTTACTAGATTATATCTGCCACGCGGTTAATCAGTCCTTCAGTCTATTCGTGAAACAATGCTTGATGAGAGACATCGGGTGTCGATATATGAGAACAATATACGAAATTGACCTTGCCCAAACTTCAACGCCCCTAATATCAAATATTAGTACTCTATAAAACCAACCCTAGTAGCTTAGGATATCAAATTTTCTTTTTTCACATTTAAAAAGGTCTTCTTTGACAGTATCAACTCCTATTGATAGTACTTATCTAGTGACAATACTAGGTCACAGGAGGAAGCAGTTCTGATGATGTGGTTGACTTGACTTGCATTCTCTAGAACTAGGAATTGGGACGAGGTTGTAATAAGGACTAATGCCAAGGCTTGAGGTCCATGCACCCTGCTCTCCTTCCACCATACCTAGCAACACACCCCTCCGTCGAGGCCTCAAAAAGCTCTCGGCAACATCCCGTTGTATCTAAACTAATATACCTTTTTTGATTGATTGAGTAGAAGTAGAAACCACCTCCAAGCGCACGGTCCACCTAATATAGTAGGTACGATCTCTAGGAGGGGAAAACCTTCAATTGACATACCACCCCTTGCTTATACACTCACCCCTTGCTATGCCACCCTTTTCTAGGCACCCTTTTAAAATCTTGGAATTGCGCGAAAGCCAAGCTGATGTCGGAGGAAAGAGTGCTAAAGGCGTGGTGGTTGGTTGAGTGAAGTATACTCTTGTAAGTGAGCAACTTCTTGAGCGAAATTGTTGTTTTGGTTGCTGTAGCTAAGTTGACTGCGGTCGACTTGCTTAACGTGAGTTTCAAGTTAGGTGACGAAAGCGGAAGGTGCGATATCGATGGGAATAGAAGCTTGGATTGCAGCCAAAGCGTATTGGTCGGTGACGAAAGCAAAAGATGCGCAAGATTCTTTAACGATGAAAGCTTGGCATCCTCTTGATAAATCTCTTTGTCAATAGAAATAAATAACTTGTTTCCTTTTTGGTAACCGCTAATTCTACTTAATTTGAAACCAGAATAAATATTGACTGGTGATTCAAGGAGGTAAAGTGTATTGTAACACTCAAGCACTTTTGTAATACCGCTAGTTTTGAGTGATTTGATCACAGATTCTAATACCGAGAGAGCGAACTGGGCTACTCAAAGTACTTATAAAAAGGAGATCTTCTTTAGCTGTATATATAGTGAGCTTAAAGAGATCGTTGCATACGTGATCAGTTGATTTATTATCGTAAAGCCAACGGTCTTTGCACGAGGTATGAATGGGATCCAAACTAAGAAGGAGCTCGTGTCCGAAAATCTCGTTATTAACGCCGTCCTCGTCCTTCTTATTGTTTCCTTTACTCTTGCTTTTATTTGTGCGCTGGAAGTAAGGAACTGACTTCTTGCTAGTTTTCTTTTCAAACGCTTCAGTCTCTTATCAGCTATCAATCATGCCTTCGACTTGTTATTATTATCTCCACCTGATTTGTTTGCTGAATTGTTTGCTGAGTTGGACTTGTTTCCGTATAAAGCTTGGCCGTGAATTGTTCTCCTAGAATTGTTATTACGTGCTTCGTCCGTAATGTCCTTAATAAGGGAGTCTAAGGTGATCTCTGCCTTCTTTTACCTAGTTGTAGCTAAAAGCAAGAACGATCTCTGACGCTCGGCCTGAACAGGCCATTTTTCCGAGCAGGCAGCGATAAACATCACGGGATTCTATCTCGCAGGTAGAGCAATATCGAGAGCTTCAAGCTTCGTAATAGAAGTCTTGAAAGCTACTACGAATTTCTTTAATGATAGGAAATCCTTGTATTTGGCGGTAACGTAGGTCTGAATAGCAATAGTTTATGAGCCCCGCAGCCTGATTCACAAAGTATTTTCAAGACTTCAAGCATCTTTTCGGTGTTTTAGAATACTAGCCCTACTCACTCGTCACCGTGGCACGCGACTCGTCAAAACGCGTATCCGCGACCATCGCGACCATCGCAACTATTGAATCTTGATCATTACAAGCAGTAGGTGAGGCTAATACTAGCGGTTCCCTAAGCAAGAAGCCAAGGGAAGCTGCAGTTAAAGCAAACCTAGCTATACAGCACAAGAGAGGAAAGGCGGCATAGAAATTGCTTGCTCTAGAGAAACCATTATTGGTGCTTGAACCTGAAATCTTTTCTCCTTTGCAACCGCGATATCTATCGCTGCCGGACGTTGGAAGCTCTCTATACGTGCCAGCACAGCTGCTTGAGGTATTACCTTCATTCCCCGAGACTGATAAAGGTGAATTCTCCTTTAGTGAAGAAGAGTATGCTACACCCTCGAAGAATATTTTTAGGTCGCCAGCACGCTCAGTCGCTAGCGAACCTCCACCTTCTCTTCCATCTCCTCCATCACTCCCACACGAACCACTTACTACGACGATCCCTTTACCGATACGTCGAAAGAAGATGAGTTCTACCATATCCTTCGACCTTTTTGAGGCTGAAAAGCTGAAAGGAGGTAAGAATTACCAATAATAGAAAGACAAGATCAGTTACATTGCTAAGTCTAATAAGATCTCTAAATTTACTAATCCGAAGTCGCGGACCAACATATTAAAGGAAGTTGACGAATTCGACGACGATCTGAAAGAAGAAGACCTAAAGATATAGCTGGAATAGGATATCGGAGAGTCGCAGATGAAGCTTGCAATTACCCTGAATTGCAAAGCTGGCCCTCTCGGACACACACAAGGCAAGGCTACAGCCCTGGATATATATGAGGTTTCTTACGGAAGTATCAGCTTATCGCTAAGATCAGAGCACCAAGCATATAGTTGGGACTGACCCGCGATTGACCAGATTACAAATACTCTGATAGTGACATCTTGATAACAGCAACCTTCATTGACAGCAGTGATTCACAGGACCTTCTATCCAGCTAGTAGAACGCTTTTTCAAGATATAAAACACTTTGACTTGCAATCTGGCTCTAATTCACCTGGTCGACTCAATTTTTTATGCTGAACTATTTTTCGTTAAATGGCGCTTCTTTCGTAATATTCCAATTGTCTCAAGCTTAGATACCTATTGAAAAGCTCCCGTCACGCCTTACTCATTACAACTTGGCGCGTTGCTGGTATGCGATGGAACTGGAAACAACTGCTGCGTTCCGGAATCCTGGTCACCCTCCCCTCTTTCGCTGAATATATTAAAATAATAATAATACTAAGGGACTCAGGACGGATTATGTAGGTGGCTTTTTCTGCCATTGTGGCCATTGATGGGCTGAGGCCTTCATTCCCTATCAGCTTAAGCTATCGACAGAATTCTTCTTCCAAGCAGCCCTTTTTCTTATCTTAAGGTGACAAGATCCAATAGCTTTAAAAGCTCAATCTTCCGTTGTTCTGTTGCTAGGTATGGTGGAAGGAGAGCAGGGTGCACTGGCCAGCTTTAGCATTGGTTCCTACTACAACCTCGTCCCAATTCTTAGTTTTAGAAAACAGGTCAAGTCAATCACACTCATCAGAAATGCTTCCTCTTGTGACTTAGTATTATCAACAGATAAGTACTAGCAGTAAGTTCTAATTGTATAATAGCTAGTTAGCAGAAAGATAATGTCTGAGCTAAGCCTCTGCTGTCAAATCTAAAGACTCGGTTGGAATGTCCTGGCATGCTCATGTTTCGGTATTCTCTACTGTTTTCTCTATTATTAAGGTATGCCAAAAGTTTCTCTTCTAAAAAAGAAAAAGTAGCTGCATATGATTTACTGTTCGAGCACTGCAGATTTCCCATCTCAGGGTAGTAATTACTGTTACAAGTGTGCAGGTGGATTGAGTGACATAGTATAAGAGCCCGTTAAAGTTACAAAAGGCCTAGTGAGCTATTTACCACAGGCTCTTGGAATTACACACCTGATTGGGTCCTCATGTGCCCGTATATTCAATAGTTGAGCGACTCGTAGATTCACCATACTCGTGACTTGAAGCGCTGCGAGTTTTTATAGCCCCAGATGGCCTTTCGATAAACCTGCATAGCAAGCTAGCTGACAGAAAAGGTTGCATTGAAGAGGAGATATGTGCGAGATTTGGATGGCATTCTCACTTTACAGAGCCCGATATATGTCTCGTTTCTCTTGCCACAAATATCTGATCACAGCAAAGGGAAACTCAATATCGAGAACGGCTCTCTATATTTGGCAGGAACGCTTTGGGCTGAGCTTGCCAAGCGTTTTCTCTGATCTGGCCAGCTACTTTGCTAGTCCAAAATAGCCTATTGGCTTTGATCAAGCCAGCCCTGAGAGAGAACCAGTAGAAAATCAAGGCCAAGCTACTCCCTCACCCAGAAGCAATGGTGGCGTGAGCAGCGCGGCCTGCTAGCTGTCTCCAAGTAGAGAGTGTTGTGAAAGAGATAATTTCCCAGCTTAGAGATGGTTTGCAGATGTATAGATAACTAGAGACGACCCGCCGGTAAGGAAACGATGGTTGAGAACTAGGTTATAACGCAGGCTAATATGAAAATAGCCTTTGGAGGCATCTGGTTCAAAGGGAAAAGGTCATCAATACAACACAGAAGTGATTCTTCAAATAAGTAGTAGAAGTTTTTTGCATAAATCTTTGTTATAAAGGTTTCATGACTTGAGGTGGTAGAACTGACGAGGTTCACACCTAAAATCAAAGGGAATCAAGTCGATTTGCTTAGCTCTAATATTCACTTATAAACCTATCTATTATGCAAATAATCACCTCCTTGGGCCATCGATGCTCGGCAACAGCCAGTGACTGTCACTAATTATTTCGCTGCCATGATACGCTTTGAGACATTGCGCTCACTCGAGTTGTATTCTGGGATTGACGGGACTGCATATAAAAACAGAATCGTTTAAAAAGCCTAAGAACCAGCTAATTCGCAAAACCAAAGCCAAACTGCACTTTATAAAGAAATCATCATATGAACCGTCTAAAGACAGGTCGACTTCTAGAACTCATCCTTCGAAGAATTCTCACTCGTAAACATATGTTGCTTACGTGAAGCCATATTCAAAAGGGGATCTGCAATGTTTGTGCTAGGAACAATCGCAGCTCGTGCTTAATTAACCCGCTGAACTTAGGACCAATGATTGCTTAGCAGTTTTTATCCATGTTTCCTAATTTCGCACTCGTAGATGGGGCTCATCTTGCTAATTCTAATATAGGTAACACTTTGAGTCTAGTATACTTCAGCTTTGTGGCTGTTAATGATCGGTTTATCTAAAAAGGATATTTAAAGTGTTTTCACTCCCGAAAGATGCGAGTAGATGCCTACCGATCTTTAAACATTACGTCTTATATATCATCATAGATTGAATAACGTAATCAGACGTACTTCGCTACTTTCGTCTTACAAGAACCAAGCTATGGAGCTGATTGGTTATTAAGAGTAGCAACTCCTCGTAATACTGACAGCGGCATTGGATCTGACGGCTTGACGAGAGCCTTTCGGTCATAGGAATAGGGAAAGGAGGCGGATGGACTGACTCCGTGCTCCCCACGACGTCGAAAGTTTTCAAGTAGAAGTATTAGAAATGAAAAAAACAAACGAAAGATATCCAAGATCGTAGATGCGATCGAGATCTAAGGGATCGAATCCAGGTTGGATGGCGCGAAATAGTGACTAGCCAGCTAAGTAAACTGGAATATGTATATAGCTTTTCGCAGAATGTGATCTCCACGATGTTACGAGAGAGCAAGAGCGTGCGGTATTGAATCGAATGCAAAGGGAATAAATAACCAGACGCCGAATCTCTTGCTTTAGAAATCAGGCGTGCTAGCCACCATGTAAAAGAATATAACCCGAGAAACTGGCAAGTCGGAAAGCACATAAGATACAAACCCTTCTCGTCTTTCAATCCAGAGATACGAATGAATGATACGACAGAACCCTTTTCGGCATCCATGCAACACCTTCCCGGCTCTCATCGCAATATTCAACCGCTCTCTGGTTATAGCGACTTCTTCACCAGAGAAGCAAGCGGATCATGGCAGCTCCTTTACGACCACCGTTCCCCTTTCTGATACCTGCCCCGATCCTTGCAAAATATAGCTATGAAACGATTGACAGAAAGAAATCAAATGATGAAAGATTATTTCAGAGTGATTCCCGAAGCCTTGCTAGCGTGTACCCTTAGAAGGCTGCCTCTAAGAATAGCGCGTCGAGATCCCGCTTCCCCTTCTCAAGAATTATAGCTTGATAACGATAACCAGCTCCCACCAAGATTCTCCGTCGAGACTCCCTATTTCTTCGAAGCCAGGAATCGCAGAGGAAGCGCGACGGGAAGCAACATGAAAGGAAATAGATCGAATAGCAGCTATGCACGCCCAGAAAAAACTTCTCGCGTGAAGTCAACACAGTCCGAGTCTGAAAATTGGACAAGTTCTCACTCCCCCTCAAGATTAGAGGTGCCGAATCCAGCAGGGGGAAGATTGAGGCTTACAAACGTGTTTAGCTGCTGAGAAAGGTGTCAGTCGCTCACTCACTCACTCCCTCGGAGATACTGTACCGCCATCGCAGCCTGTGAGACACCAACCCCGTCCGCCTATGCTCGCAGGCAGGTTGGTAGGAGATTGATTTTCTAGCAGCTCGAAATGAATCGCTTCAATGCAGTTCTTTTTCTTTCATCCGTCTTCCTTCTTTTTTTGGACTGGAAAGTCAGCCACCCCCGGCCTCCCGCTCCTCTCGTAGTAGACTTCCTGGATGGCAGACGTCGTGCCTACCCTATCAGTACCCCATCAGTATAAGTAGAGCGGGCCAGTCCTCCACACTTGAATGCGTTCCCCTTTTCGCTTAGGACTACTGACCGACTAACTGACTGACTGACTGACCTGACCGACCGGCTGACTAACTGGCTGTGATACTACCAGTACCAGTAATTAAAACGAAAAGGTCGAGAAGCACCGAGCACCGGTATGCATGCATGCATGCGTACGTACTGGTACTGTATGTACCGGTACACAGACAATCAGCTGTAACAGCTATAGAGGGCAAAGGCAGTGAAGGAGGTACGCTCGGCTGAAGCTGAAGCTAGAGCTGAATGCAGTAAAATAAGAAGAAAAAAAATAGAGAAATTGAATTGAATTGAATTGAACCGAATACACGCCCTTTTTTCTTT